GAGCATCGTAAAATTAAAATGATAATTAGCACATTCTGCGGATAAAAAAAATATTTTAATTAAACAAATCAATGCCCTTGAACACCAATATTTTTTATTCGAAAAATTTTCGTCGACAAATCCATTGTCCTCAAATTTTTTGAAGGCTCATTTTTTTATTTAGGTAATTAAGTTGCATTTATTATTTATCACTTTATTAATTCTTACTTAATTGTTTAATAATTGAATTAATAAAATATAAGAATAAAGATAATGGATATAAATGCGAAGAAGGACTATAAAAAAAAATAGTGGGAAACAGGAGAGAAATCTCAAATAAAATTAGTTTTTAGGCCTTTACGAAGGTGAGATTAAAATTATAAAATATTGCTCATAGTAACTTTTCTGTTGTGCGATGTAATAATATGAGAAATTTTAGAAATTCATTGTTCAGATTTTCGAGTTATCCTTCAGAAAACGAAAAATAAAATTTTCCTTAATCAACATATGCATTTAGAACTAATCGTTTCGACGTAAATTGAATAAGTTAAAATATAATTTTGCCCAAACAATGCGAAAAATCAAACATAAACTTCATAAATTTTCAGTTGATTTCCATTATTTTATTAATTTTTATCCATTAAAAATTAGCTTTTCTTATTTATAATTATTTATTTATTTATAATTATCATTTATAATTTATAATTTATGATTAATAAAGCGGATTTTTAAAAACAATCCTTATTTTGTATACAACGTATTGTATTCTAATATCATTTTTATTATATTTTGAAAAAAATTTCAGTTCTTTATTTCAGTTGTTTATTTCAGTCAATAAATGAAATATAAAATTTGTTAAAATTCGTAGCTTAAGCTCAGAGAGGTCAAAACTTTTCACTCACAGTGCAGCAAATAAAATTGCTGATGAGGAGTCATATTTTTGAAAAATATTTAAAATAACCTGATTTGATAATATTATTTGGTCTACGGTTATGGTCTGATCGTGTGCCGACAAAAAAGTTTTGTAGAATTTTACGTTACAATTTAGAATGTACCGAAGCTACCACACAGTAGAAAATTAATAAAGTAAAAGCAGATATCAGTAGATAATAATAATGAATAACGACTGATAATAATAAAGGGCTACGTATAATAATGGAAAGATACAAGTAATAATAAATGATACGGGAGGGTTAAACCATTTAGCCTCATCAAAATGTAAGGAATAAAAGAATGACCACTCTAGAACAAGGACTCCAACAAATACTTCGAATTGATCATTCAATTTCCCTTTGAATCATCTGATCTTGAATATAAGCGATATGGTCATACTTGTATCCTACTAATTTGATGAATCCTTTATATTTATCAATATCAATAAAATGGCTTCGTTGTTGACATGAACAGCCCTTTCACTTCCTAAGAAGTGTTTCGATAACCAATTCCAACGAGATTTAATGGTTCATGTTTAATTGGGTCCAATGAGTCTAATTACGATTTCTAGTCGTTTCTTTAAAAATGAAAATGTTTCATTTTTCATAAAAATCATTTCAGCACCATTTAGCTTTGAAGTGATTAATCTTGGATTTTACAAATTTTTTCAAAGGAATATATCTGTAATTTTTTGGATTTATTATCGAGTCTTGGGATTTCAATTCTTTTTCCCTTGATGATGATATATTCAATTGAAAAGACGTGAGTAAATTCTCATAATCTTCATCATTTCTTCTTCAAACTTAATCATACTTTGGCTGAATTCAATTGATTGTATGGATTTTAGCGATTCTTTCATTTTACATTTCCGAAAATCGGTTCAATCACATCGGTTCAGTTCAGTGTTATCTGCAGCATAAGGCAGAATTTTATCTTCATCTAGCAATAACAAGAAAATTTTTTGTCTTATAATTATTATCCTTATCCTTTTTGACATTATCTTTTTCCCTAATTAATAAATGATGGTGTTAGTCTTGATAATGCGGACTTAAGCACTTCCATTCACCACCTTATTTTTACAAAATACAGGCGAAGTATAGTTTTTTTCACCATTTTTCTTGAAAGGAACTCTTTCATTGATTAACCCGCATGCATAAGAACTTGTTGCGCAATTTTATAGAAGTTTAGTGAAACAATTTAGAAAATACTATTGCAGCACACAACAGCTTTATTCTGATGAATGTGCGATCAAAACAAAAAGCGAATAATCAGTAGGGTATTAATGAATAAAAATATAAAATAGAGAAAAAGAAAAACCTATAATAATAATCAGTCACACTGCTGAATGAAAATTAGTATGCAGAGTGAAAATGAAGATATTTCTTTCCCCAAAGGACGACAATTCAACTTAAAATGGTCAAAATGAACTTCGACAAAGAATAAAAAATAAGGAAGCATATATTCCCAAGTTGTCTATTCCTACAGCAGTAAAAGCGTTTACAAATATACCATTTCATTTTAAATATGCAAATTTTCAATTGTTCTTATTTTTTTCAATAAAATCAAGGCATCATATAAAATTTTTAAAGCAGCATACTATTAAAAATTTCTATGTTATTATAGAAAGCTGATGGAAATCTTCAAAATGGAAGACTTTGAAAACCATGCTTTGAATGAGTTTAAAGTTAATAATAGTGCGATTGACTTTTTAACGACAAAAATTTAATTATGCTTAATACTGAGAAAAGTGAATTAATTGTTCGCTCACACTGCTTCATTTCGATGACTGTTTGTACGATGAGAAATTTTCGCCAAATATAGAGTACGAGTAATACAACACGGAGCACGGATTTTTTAATGACAGGTTTATTCTTGGCAAAGGATCAACCTAAATCTTGATACTTGTCACGATCATCTAATCACCTAATCAGAGCAACCGCTTTGCTTTGCCTTTTAAACATCCAAAACTCGATTTATGAAATAAATTTGACTAAAAAATCTGCATTTTATAGGTTAAAAACAAAATTATTGTTGAATACATCAATTTTTAAATGAAAAAATTGGTTGATTTGAAATTGAATGAATTATGTTGATGGGTTATTTTGATAGCCAAAAGGAAATAAATTCATGCACCATAAAAGTAAGCAGGAATTTGGATTTTCTTTGCATGATTCAACATTATACTATTATTACGATATTGTAATTGAAAAGGAAATGCTATCGACTTATCTCTATTTTTATGGCCAAGTAACTCTATGGCAAAATTTGTACAAATATTGGTTTTCATATCAAATTATTGTTACAATAAGTGATAAGCCAGGGCAGCGAGCCAGAAAGATGAACATTGTTGGAGAAAAATGAAATATGCACATTACCAAAATATTAAAATAGTAATAATAGTTATATTAATTTCTTATCTATTATTTTATTCTATATATTCTATATATACTATATGATTCTAAACTCAGACTTTATTTATATTCATCAATAGTAGTATACATTAAGTAATAAGCGACAAAAATTTTTTGTTTGTTTGATATATATTTATGATCGATTGATAAGTTGATTATCGGTTACATTGACTGCAATCAGCAGTGTATTGCTTTATGTATGTTTCAGTTGTTAGAGTTTCGATAGAATTTGTTAGCATAAATAAATAAATTATGGAGGCGAAGTAATAAGTTGCTTTTGGCCTATGAGCATTGAATACTTATCAATCTTTTTTTAAATTTGCAATAATCGTTTCTCATATGGTGATTTAACTCTCTTCGCATTTAATATTTTATTTAATATTTGTAAATTAAGTTAAAATAATTAAATATTATAATAAATTTAAATCAATAATAACAAAATTAAATATTAATTATAAGAAAAAATATAAATTTACAAACAATGATTAGTAAAATAAATAAGATGAAATTATATTTTTGCTAGAAAATACTTAATAAAGCGGAACTACTGGAATTCGAAGAAAAATAGGTGAATGTCATGAATTCAAATTTGTGTTGCTATATTTCGAGAGGAACGATGACGGCGCTAGCGACAACGAATCGAATTTTATTCTCTTATAGGGTGGGGCTGTTTCATTTCATTCTCGAAGCTTTTTAGTACGATTGAGAATGAAAGAGAGATAGAGGAAAAGGCTGGAAGTCTCTTCTGAAAATAATGGATGAATAATCCAAAAAATTTGTCGAGATAAAGCTTCGACAGAGAAATAGCAAAGTGATTTCAGCTCGCCAGAGAGAGATACTATTCAAACATTCGCAGTTCTTTACTAGTTATTGCTTGTTCGTTTCCAGTAAGTTGGAGGCATCCCGTAGTATTCGCAATTGCCATTTTCGCCATTTTGAATGAATTTCTATCATTTTACTTTTCCTCATTATTATTTTAATTAACGCGCATCTTCACAGTTAATTCAAAGCATTCACATTGTTTCAAATGATCTACGATTGAAACGCCTCAGGCAGTACTTTAACTCCATGTACATATATTACATGATTCTTGAAATGCTTCTTTCACATACCAATATTTAATGAAATCCTGTTGGATTTTTGTTGGAGTTTCCACCTGAAGCATCAACTAAAGACGACGCTAATTGGAGGTAGGATTTGTTTGATCTAATTGTTCCAATTTGGCCACCATTACCTCTGATCTGAATTAAATTGGTCCACATACTTTATACATTCATATTTCAAAGACTGTGATTATTGCTTATTAGCTTATCAATATCATTAATCTGAATTGGCACCAACTAAAATTCTCTTCATAATATTATTACCTTCAGTACCTTTCTGTACCCTTTAATGTTGACGAATTTTATAGAAAGAGATAAACTATTTAGGAAAATTGATTTATCAAGCTTTAAGTCAATTGCTTTATGTGATTTTAAAGTAAAACATTTAAAGTTGCATAAAAATTTAATTTCTTACTCCTATAAAGAATGATTACTAAACATAGAGTTCTTTTGGATTTTCTAGCCATTCAACTGGAATAATTTTATTTTTATCTGCTACAGTGATTTCCGAAAAACATTCTACAATTATTAGTCAAATACTAAATACGGATCAAAAATTTCTCAAATTGACATAATGGGTCATTGCGCGTCTCGCGATCAAAAGGATCAAAAAAAATTAAATAGACGCATCGATGAACAAATCAAAAGAGATCAGTCGTTATCACTACGTATCATTAAACTTCTTTTGCTTGGTTTGTTTGTTTTCTTTCTCAGTTTTAATTTATCCTAAAAATTGAAACTATCAATTCACAATTGCATATAATTTTGCATATAATATATTGTTGAATAGCTTTTCTCTTGGCAAATTGAATACGGCGTAACGAAAAATTATCAAAGCCATTGTTTTTGAAAAATTTTGGAAGTTTTAATGAAATTTGTCACTAATCAATTAAATTCAGTTTGATTTTTTAATAGTTAACAGTTTTAATGGTTGTGATTTAATGGTTGTTGTGATCTGCGAAAGTCATTAAGGAAACAATGACATTATCAATTTCAATTACATAATTGTTTTAATTACAATCAATAATAACAAAAAATTTATCCAAAATTCAAAATAACAGAAAAAAATGCGAAAAAATGCGAAATGCGAGAACATTTAGGAAATTCATTGTAACTAATAGGTTGTCAACTTTTCTGAATGGAAATTATGAATAAATTATTTTATTATAGGTTTTATGAGCATTAATTACAGTATGGATTGTGTTGAGGAAATTTGATAATAATCTTCTATATTTCTGCAAATTTTATTTTTATCTATCTATATGTTTTATATATTTTCGGATTGGCTTTTTATGAAAAATCATTAAATGAAAGAAAATTCATCTCCGCAAAAAATAATTATATTTGTAGAAAAACAAAAATTTAATTAAAAATTTTTTTTCTTGATATGATTTTCTTATGATTATATTTTTATGGTATGATTATGATTTTTATTTTTCTGGTTAGATTCACTGGCTGGTAATAAGAATAACAATAAAAAGAAAGTTTCGCCAGGGAGCTATTCGAAATAGAATTAGCTAAAGAACCTCATTTTTTTCAACGGCAGGTTTTTTTCGTCGCAGACATGAGTCGAAGCATGAGTCGATAATCTGAACTACTGACCACTCGACTATCCCTTAAATATTTTATTGCAATAGCACAGAGCACAAAGCAGAGCAGATCTTTAATGAAATATATCTACTACTTCAGTTGCTATTTATTTCGCATTCGTCGCAATTTTTTTTCGATTGATATCGAAAATTTTTTCATATTTACTTAATTGGTTTCTTCGATGCAAATCGATATCTTTCTACCTATTAATGCCATAAAATTTTTAATTAAAAAAGCGTAAAAATAAAGAATTAATTATTCATAATTTAAACTATTAAAATAAATTATTAGAAATTTCTAAAATTATTAAAATAGCAATCATAAATGTTAAAATAAATGCGATAGAATGCGAATCGCTCGCAAAGAATAACTCGCTCTTTGTAAAGAATTATTTATTCCGACCACATATCTTTGTCAATTTTTTCTTCCTTTTTTGTGAGTTCATTTAAAAAATTTTTCCAACGATGAATTCATTAAAAACCATAAAATTTGCGAAAAAAATGACTATTACAATGAATAATTTTAGCTCAGATTCTTACATCAAATAAATTCTAATTTCAAAATTATCTAAATATTCAAAATTTGTCGAGAATTTGTTTTTGGTCATTTTTAATTCAAATTTATTATTTTTTAAATAATGAAGATATATTTAGATATTTTTATTTTCGCCATGTTTTATTTTTAATAATTCGCAAAAGCAAATTATCGATTTTATCACGAATTGTTATTTTTCAAAAGAAATTGGGATAAGATTATTTTTAAAAAAAGTGCATCGATATTCCGACAACAAATGGTGAATGAATAAATAAATGAAAGAATTAATGAACGAACTGATGGTTGAATGAATGGGTGGATAGCTAGACAATTTCATTCATGAACACATTTTGTATGAAACTGTGGTTCGAATGACCGAAATTCTTTATTTCGTAGATTATAAATGAATGCTTGATGAATTTTTTATAAAGCATTCACTCATTATAACATATTATACTTAAGAATCCTTATTAATTAATGAAATAAAGAAGGAAATAAAAAAAAAGGTAAAAGGTAAATCATAATAGCTGAATGAATAAAACATTGAAAATTAAAATGAAAATTCATTTTCAGGCGAATAATTTTGCAAAAAAAAGGAAAATGCAATATTTATGTATAGAAAAAATGATCGATATGATTTCAGGTGCTGGAGAAAGTGGCAAAAGCACAATTCTTAAGCAAATGAGGTTAACTTTTCAATTAACTTTTTAATTAAATTCATAAATTAATTGGATAAAAATTAAAATTAAGTACGATTAAAATGTTTTTTTCATGAACATTAAACAAGTATTGTAAATATTCGTATTGTAAATATGAATACTTTTCCTTTAAATTTTTGATAAGTTCGGTAAAAATAGATTTTATGCCAACTCTTGACCAATTAAAATTTTTTTATTGATTTCGCTCTAATGGCTATGAGATTGAGACTTTCTTTCACCAGAGGATCACTTGAGGATACCACATTTCCACATTTTTAAACATAAATTCTCCTATGACAGATAGCGTGGTGCACTGAAATGATAATTAGACATCGACTGCATACTACATAATTTAATTCATAAATGTCAAAAAACAAAGTTTTATACATAATTAGATCTTGAAAATTGTGAAAATCCCGCTAACTTACAATTTATCAGTTTTAATAAAACCAAATTTTTATTAAAATTTCACCGATAGACCCAAATTAAGTAAATCGATCATAAGACTATTTCATGTTTTGCGTACTACAAAATAATTCGTTCTTTATTTGCTCAAATTTTATTTGTTTATACTTATCAAAGGAAAAAAAAGCAACCCATTTATTTTAATTGTTTAATAAATTAGAAATGAGATTTTTCGATGAGATTTTTTTATTTTTTAGAAATTTTTCAAATGTGACTTCTGTTTTTCAAAATTTAAATAATGCGTGCGAATTATTTGAGAGAATTTCCAGAATGAATAATTTTCATTCATTTATAATAATAAAAAATATTAGAAATATTTATCGCTATATTTGTCGGAAATTAAAATTGCAATTTCAGGCTGATTGAAAAAAAAATCTCTTCTCTGGAAGCAATCAATTTTTACTGCTAAAATAGGAATTTTTTGCAATTATTTTATCTTTTCTTTCTATAATTCAGAAAAAAATTTATCGATCTTTGTCTGTTCTTTCCGTTAAGTCTACGGTACCAGAAAAAAAAGGAAAACTGAGGTTGCCGAGATCTAAATTTTCTAAAACTCAATTTCATGTGCAAATATGTTGGTGCAAAAGCGTGCCTGCACAGAGAACGATTCATTTACCTAGCTTTAAGTCGTTTTTCTAAAAACTAATTTCTTTCGTTTCTTACTTCGTCTATGTTGTGTTTTAGTGGACTTGAGCCTTACAATTTTTCCCTAAAGTATATTAAGTATATTAAAGAAAAAATGATCTAATTTTTTTAGAAAATCATAAATTAACCATTTCTTAATTAATTGAGTATGGCGAAAATTGGAAAAGAATTCTAAATTCAAATCCTTGGGACGACGATCTATTTCTGTCATTTCAGTAATGCACTTTTGCATGATAATATAAGATATTCAACGACTGATTGACGAAAAAATAATTCAGTTATATTCTCTCATGAGATAAATTTTTTTAGCAAATTTTTCTCACTTTAGAAGGCTTAATTTTCGAAAAAAAATTCTCCATATAAATCTCTCCAATACAAATTAATATCGATTACGATGACGAAAATGAAGAAGAGGGAATTTTTATACGAATATTATTAAATAAAAGTCGATAATAATAAATGTGTCGAAAAATAATACTTTATTTATTATTTATTTTCAATTTTTATTTTCAAGTCGATTTGTTTAAAAGGGATTATAAAATTATTATTCCTTGTATCGTCCTTTTTCCTTCTTTTTTTGCTCGAAATTCTCCATTTCATCTTTGTTTGCTTATTTACACGTCGAGAACTCCACCCTCCACGCTCAGATGGCTGACTTGACATTTGCGATACGCCTAAAAAGCCATTAACCTTTTAACTTAAAATATTCAAAATTTTGAATTTCGAAACTCCCAAAACTTCCACTTTTTTTCCACTGAAATGACATTATGCGGTAGATTAAAAGTAAGAAGTAAGTACTCACCTTTTGTTTGCCAGACTTTGTTTCTGTCACCAACTGATTCCATCAAAAAATTTCCAAATATACTAAGCTAGCGGAGTTGACTTAGCTAGGAATTTTGAGGATAACCACTTAAGCTCGCATAATTGATTTATTTCATGAAATAATTTTACAAGCTGTGAATAAAAATATATTAATTTTGATTCTTCCAGAATTCTCCACAAAGATGGTTTTTCTCAACAAGACTTAGAAATGGTTCGGCCAGTTGTACATAGTAATTGTATTCACAGTATGCTTGCCATTCTCAGGGCAATGTTTCACTTGCAAATCGATTATGAAGATCCTGAAAGAATGGTATTCATTCTGAATTGTATTTTTCTAATTCAAAAATCAACGATATTGTATTTTCAAATTATTTCCAAGTGATAAAATTTATGGAACATTAGGGTATTGTTTTTTTAAAATTGGCTTAGACTAAGGCTTTTTGCATCAAAATAAATCAGTTTTAACGTAGTTTAATGACTTAGTAATAGGCTGCTTTAATTTCATCCAGAATCAATTTTGAAACATACTTTTCACAAGCAAAAATCTAAATCAAATCTCAATTTAAAAGAAAGAAATAAACTATAAAGAAATAAGAAAAAAAGGCAGTTCATTTATATCGACTTATCTTAATATAAAAGACCCGCTCTCTGGGGGGTCTGATTTATCCCATTCTCTTGAGCGTGTCTTTAGCGCCATGCGAAACGTCTAATTAATACATATTTGTTTAAAAATTTTAGGAGAACCTCTACACTGGGCTGCATTCCTCTAATGCTTCGTTATCGCCTTAAGTTTGTTCTGAGTATATTTTGTCTTAAATGCAGCAATGCTCACATAATGATAAATAATTTCCTTTTTTTTAGTTTAAATGATCAATAAATCAATTTTTATTATTTATAAATTCCAAAATTAATAAAATATGCGCTAAAAACGATATTTCAGCGTGATAGTCAAATTGTATTTGCGACTGTTCATGCGAATAAAGAAGAATTAACTGAGGAATTATCAGCAGCAATGCAACGATTATGGTTGGATGGCGGGGTGAGAGAATGCTATAAGCGATCTAATGAATACCAAATTGATGATTCTGCCAAATAGTACGAATTTTTTATACGAAAAATTTTTTCCAGTGAAATAATCAAATTTTTGGCATATTTAACAAAATGCTATTTGTCAAGCTTTAAGTTCTGTTTGTTCAATGTAAAGAATTTATCTTTTACTATTTTACAATGAAATTTCCGATAGTTAAAAATGCTAGCAAATTAAAGCCTTAGGCAAACATTGGTGCTACTGTTCTTTATGAGAGGAAGCCAAGAGCTAAGCTCTAACTAGCCTTTCTGAAAAGACCCGACCAAAAAAGATATGTTCTTTCTTATTATAATGAGGAAGTAAACAAAAAAATAAATAGTAAAGTAAAATGTGTTTCGAAAACTGAAAATAAAATTGCAAAAAAACGATAAGAACTCTGTGCTTTTCAATATTTTTAGCATTTAGATCGTGGCGTAATGCCGCCCCAAACCCTTGCGCCAACTCTGGGTAGGTAAAATTAGATCGAGATGTGGGAAAAGTTTCAGATCAAAAGCTAGGCATAATAATCAAATAAAGGCATAATAATGTCAAAAGTCTAAATATATTTTAATATATTGTAAGTAAATATGTTTCAGATTCAAAAACTTTACTTTAAATTCTACTTTAAAATTTTGTCATCTCAAAACATACGATAAAAACTATTTAAAATCATAAATATTTTAGTTTATAAAATATATTTATAAACTGTTTTAATTTCAAAAATCTTCGATAAAATTTGATATTTTAAAGAGTTTTTTGAGAAAGTGGTCGACATAAATGATGAAAAATTGTATTACAGCAAATATTATAACAAATATTTATAGGAAATTTTATTTTGTAGGCTTATATAGGCCAAAAATTTAAAAAAATTCAAGTTTACCGCGAATTTCATTCCAAAATGCTTAATCCACGTATGCATATCCCATCAAGTATCATACAGTACTCTCCAGTATACTAATTCTCTTTTATAAGAAAGTAGAGCAAATGATAGATAATCGCATTTCATCTACAATTTCTTGCAAATTCTTATTTATTTTTTTAATTTTTTTACAATTCTTTTAAAATTTCTTGCAGAAAATTTTCAATTATGTATTATTGCGGTTATTGTGAATAATTAAAGTCACGAAGAATAGAATTTTTTTCGCAACATTCTTATTTATTTCTTCTCTTTTCATTCGCTGTATATTTGAAAAACCAAATTTTATTTGGGTGAAGGAGAGAGGAAAAGATGGGAGAGAAGGAAGTTAGAAAAAAGGAAGCGAAGGAAAAGAGATGGCTCATAAAAATCTCTACTGAACTTTCGCCATCTTAGTTGCAGTTATTTCGAATAAACTTTAAAAAGAAATTTCTAAAATGATATTTTCAGTTTTCTTGATAATTTATCGCGACTTAGTTCTCCAAATTATCTCCCAACAGAACAAGATTTATTGCGAACTCGAATTAAAACCACAGGAATCACCGAAATTCTCTTCGAATTGAAAGGATTAACATTTCGGTATTTTATAATATTTTTTATAATATTTTATAATATAATAATCGGTATTTTATTCGGTATAATATTTTCTTAATTTCATAATGCAAGGCGAATATAATGAGACTGTTTTTTGGAAAATCTCGAAGTTTGCAAATAAATGAGAAAATTACCTTTAAAATTAATTTTGCCAATTTTCATTATTCATTTATGTCTTTTCACAAATTTTTTTCAGTTTAATTTTGATAATTTAATGGAATAAAATTAATGAAAAAATAATTTTGCTTGATTATTTCATGAAATTTAATTTAATTTTTGCTCATTATTTAGTTTTCGATGAATATTTATCAATTTAATCCTGTAAAAGACACTCGGTTACCCTGTCTTCTTCATTAATTTAATCTAAAAAAGTAGTTTTCCATAAAATTTGGGAAATTTGCTAATGCTAATGCTAATGCTTCGTTATCGCCTTAAGTTTGGATCTGGATAGCCGAGAAAAAATTACAAGAAATTATTAATCATTCACTTTATAATTTCTCGCATAGTTTCACCGATTCATGGATCTCTGACTATTTGGTCTCAATTATCGAATAATCACACTTGTCTGATATTCATCTCGAAATCCGCCGATTCGATAAATTTGGCAATGCATTTAAACATGTCTCCACTGTTTAAATTTATCTTTTTTTATCTGTCTATCTCATCTTTATTATAAAACTTATAAAACAAAATATCTCATATTATTAGAAAACGTATTAAACTTATTGACTAAAGTTAGCGCCGAAGGATGTGAGAATAGCTAACAGTAACGGCATATCGCTTGAAATTTCTGCACTAAAATCTACAATCAGTTAAAATTTTCTAATTTTTGAGACGAAAGTGCGAAAATCAAAATATGGAATGTTTAAATCTTGCATTTAAATTTTGCATGTAAAGTAAACATCTTTGAATATTTAAATGCGATGACGAATCTATCGTTTTGTTTTGCTGCATTTGGGAAATTTTTTCCAAAATATCAAAGAGATTATCAAAAGTGAAAGCTCTTTTAAAAACTTTGCGATTTGCGTGAAAATCTGGAGAGTTATTGTGGGAAATAGAAAGAAGAGTTCCCTAAAACCCATTCAAAGGGTAAGGGTAAGAGTTAGAAGTACGACTACTAAATACCTTCGAGTGCTATTGATGAAAAAGGCATAGATGTGCTATGATGCTTCATAAAGCCATAGTGGTACTTTTTGCTTAAACAAGTAGACAAATAGAAGAAATGCTAATTTCATTTAGAGTTAATGAAAAAAGGGATGTCAATCTTTTCATCCAAATTCACGGATGATTGAAAAGTCTCAACATTTAAAATCCAATTCTGAATTTTAGAGTTTGAAATTTTTAGAGTCTATGTTAATCGATATCACTAGAATAAATAGAATACCTAAAAAACTTCACTCGAAATCGGTAATAATGTCAAAGAGCTGCCATTGTCCACCCTTCAAACCTTAATTTCATATGCAGTAATCTACAATCCGAAATTATAATAACTAATCACAGTAATAGTACAAGAGATGATGAAATGAATTGTAAAAGTTATTGACTGGTATTTGTATTGAAACTGGTCGAAATTTTTTGCAAAATTTTTTGGTTAATAGTCTAATAAACATGTTTCAACTAATTATTAACGAAATAGCAATTCTGTTCTGTTATTTAGTACATATCAAACTGATAATTTAGAGTGATTGATGTTGGTGGACAAAGGTCGGAAAGAAAGAAATGGATTCATTGTTTCGACAATGTGAATGCAATCATTTTTATATCTTCTTTATCAGAATATGATCAAACTTTACGAGAAGATAATTGCACAGTTCGTAAATTAAACTGATTATTTTGCCAGTAATATTTTGCCAGTATTAATTAGTGGTAATTTCCTAAAAAGTTCATTAAATTTTTCTTGCAACATTTTGAATTTTAAGTATCGATGAACATGGTTTTAGAATTTTGATCTAAAAAATTTGTGGGGCAATAGAATAAAATAGTGCGTCCCATAGAACCTCTCATTTTAAGCATCATGGCTTCTTGTTCCCTGACAAGAGCAAATTTGTTATTAAAAAAAAATCTGGACAATGTTATGGATTCACCTGTACTTTTCCGCTCTCTGGCAATGACGCTCTGGCGAAAGTGCCTAATGCAATGTGTCGAATGAGTATTGCAGAAAAAATTTTCTATGAAGAATTAGCCAATCCACTTTATTATTAATTTTTTTTATAATGATTCTATTAAATTATTTCTATAGCATAACTTAAAAAAGTGTAAATTATGTTTTTGAATAATCTGTAATAGAATTTTTAGTAAATTCATTTACGTAAGTTGATAACGATTAATGATTTATTCCAATTTCAATAATTTAACTGTGTCTGTAAGGAAAAGCAAAATCAGAAATAAATCGTTCGTCGATTTTATAATATTTAATAGAATAGAATGGAATATAGTAGAAATCTAAAGAATTCTTTGCCAAAGAAATCATTATCATCATTATCATGAATTTTTTTTTATAGAATAGAATGCAAGAATCATTGAAATTATTCGATTCGATTTGTAACAGTCCGTGGTTCGCCGATATTCATTTTATTTTATTTTTAAATAAAAAAGATTTATTTGCTGAAAAAATTACGCGATCGCCTCTAACAATATGTTTTCCTGAATATAAAGGTTATTACTGTACTGTAAATTCATCTCATTAGTGCTGCTATCTTTTTTTTCAAAAATTATTTCAAAAAAATTTTACTTATTACTTTAAATTTGAGCCATTGGTGCATATGATAAGCTTTTGAACTCATTTTCTCATTTTCTCTTCCTCTTTATTTAATAATACCAGTTTCAGTATCGAATTCAACTGGATAATAACATAAATTAAACTAAAATCTCTAAAATCCTCACATCTAATTAGATGCAGTTAACACTGTTGATTAAGTCTAAATATTCATAATATTGCCACTGAGATATTTATTTGTCGGCGAATTATCCACCAATATTTTTTGTTTTAGGTCAACAGAATCAGACAGAATGTATAAATTATATTCAGTGGAAATTCGAACAACTTAACAGGTGTGAGGATTTTAAATGATATTTAAAAAGTAGCATCGATATGATTTCGTTTTTTGGATTTAAATGCTTCGCAAATATTTTTAAATTAATGTGATTTGATGGTTTATCAAGAGAGCAATTTGATTTTTATCTTCAAAACTAATTTTATGCAATATATCATTGGAATTAGCGCTAAATTAGTCTAATTGATTCGTAAAGAATGGTTTAGTCGTGGAAAGTGAGATATGCTGTACTGCGAAGCGATGATTAGTTCCAATTTCACGATGACCATCACCAACATTATCTTATTATTTAATCTTATAATCTCTTGCAACTTATTTTTCTTATAAATATTCGCATTATATGATTATTCCAAAATTTCTTGTAGATCATCGCAAAGGGAAATCTATTGTCATCATACATGTGCAACTGATACGAATAACGTGCAATTTGTGTTAGACGCGTGTCTCGATATGATTATAGCAAAAAATTTGAAATCAATGGGATTATGTTGAATCACCGTTAAATTTTAAAATTATTTTATTAGTCCATTATTTATTTATTTACTGTGTTTCTTATTATTATTATTGCTATAAGTTTCTTAAATAAATCGCCTTTCATGTTAAATATTCGCTCATCTTTTCGCACATTTTATTTTCTGCTTATTTTTAGTTTAATTTTAGGAATGCTAGCATAAGTTAATGAAATGAAACTAATGTTTTATCGCAAACGAATTGTCGAAAATCATCAATTTCTCGGATTGTATCATTGAGAGATTTTCAGAGAAAAAGTCATGCTTAAAATTCCATCTATATACTCGCTTTTCTTTGTTATAAATTGTAATTGGTGGACGAATTACGGGTTTTTCTCGATTATATTTTCTCGTTTTTTGGGTTAATTTCCTTACTTTTACTTTTTTGTTATTGCAAAACGCTTTGTCTTTTCTTTGATCTATAAGTTTGCACAATTTTTAAAATTCAATTGATCATTCAATTTACAAAAATTAAAATACAATTTAAAAGAAAATTTTTAGTCCCTCAAATGGACTAAATTTCAAGCAAATAATGTAAAAAACCTTAAAATATTTATTATTTTCATTGGTTTTTAACTGATTTTTCACCATAATCTCTTGCTTTACCATTGTTTCATCGTTTATAATAACAAAGTCTCGACTATTTTTAATTTTATTTAAGTACGGCGAATAAAACTGTCATTTTTTAAAAATTTTAAACGATTTTACTATTTTTCTTCAAAAAACAAATTATTATTAAATTAAGAGGGATTCTGGATCTATTTTTTGGAATAATGGAATATATTAAATTTAATTAAAGTGAATTAATATGGATAACTAAGAGGAGTGCAAAGAAAATGAATGGCTTATTGCATCATCGCAGCAGCCCAGAACGAATTAAAAAACTAATCTGCCTTGCGATGAAGGCGAAAAGTTTGCCTGAAAGCTCAAAGCCAATCTCATCCAGTGCTGCTATTTATGACATTTATGAGAGGTTTGCACTGCGCAAAATCGTAAATTTACCGTAACCATTTTCGAAAAATTTTTAGCGAATTTCGAAAATTTTTTTAGATGAAATCGCTAAAATATCCTCGGAAGAATCGTTCATTTTCCGAGAGAACTGAAAATTACTAATGAAATAAATTCTTTCCTTTTCTATGGCTGAAATAAATAAATAAATTATCGATGAGATTTACCTTTTTTGAAAACACAAATCGGCAAAAATTCGACCAATTATTGCGATACTTTGCTTCTTTGAGTCGTTTTTCGATATTCTAAAAACTTTCTTCGGAATGTTTTTGCGAAAAATTTTAAAGCGCTGAATTGTATAGCAATTTGCTTAAATATTTCATATAGTGCAGCAAAACTTTCCAATATTTTCAACAGTTTTCTCGCTTTCTTATTGAATCTTTGCTTTTCTTAACCTTTTTTTCCGATAATTTCCTAATTTCCATTAAACTTTCATTTATTTGTTTCGAAATCTTTATTTTTTGAGGAAAAAAAGATGCAATTTGGGCCGTAAGAATTTGGCCATGGCGTCGTTTCTGTTTCCGTTTCATGCTGGTGAAAAAGTTATAGAAAAGAGAAATAGTGTGCGCTCATTTTGTACACTCATTTTTTTGCTTGGCACAGTTGTTCACAGTTATTACATCCACATTATTTTTATATAGGGTCGCAGGAACTGTAACCTGTGACCCTTGACCTTAAGTTGTGACCTTACTCTGCACGTGACTTGATTGGCTAATTTATGAAGTATGCGTATCGTATCATTTGCTTTGCTTTTGCTTTTATTTGTGGTAATAATGTTTAATTATGAATGATATGATAGGTGACATGTGCGAATGGTGGTTGGCTGTGCATTGCTCATCTCTTCTGTTTCTATTTTTTTAGTCTCTTTTTCCCAACCATTGTTTTTTATCATATTTTTATGACTGTGACAATTTACCTTTTAAAGGCAAATTTTTTCTTACCGATATTAGAATCGCACTCCGATACGACAACCCATTTGCATTTTTAATAAATATTTTTTATCATAATTAAAATTTGGACGATGCGGATGATGCTAGTCACCCGTCTGCGACCGTTTGTTGTCGTCTATCGCCATGTGACTCGTTGCCGAAATTTATCCGACCTGCAATGTCAGCGAAGCGAGTCTAACAAGAAACGATGAACCCTCTTAGGCGAAAAAGGAGAAAATCGTTAAAATAGCACTTTCTCATTTTATTTAATGAATTAATCTTATTTTTGGTTATCATTATTAAGATATTTCTTTTTTTACAATATTTTTCTCTTTTATTGTGATTTTCGCTTGCGCAATTTTCTTTGAAATGTTCGACCAATTAGTTTTTTTCAAATATTTTATTTAATTTATGAAATTTTAGTATAAAAAGCGCAAATATGAAAGCATTAATATTAGTTGGTGGTTATGGAACTCGTTTACGTCCATTAACATTAACACAACCGAAACCTTTAGTTGAATTTGCTAATAAACCGATGATGCTTCACCAGGTTTTTGAGTTATTTATTTATTTTTATCATTTTATTTTTCTCTAAGAATTCTATTTCTTTTTAATTTTTCTAAAAATTTATTTCCGTTGAAAAAATTTTCGCGAATAAATTACCAGTAAAATTTACTAACTCATTTTCAAAAAAACATGTTAATTAACTAATTTAATGAGTGATTAAGAAAAATAAAAAATTTAGATAAATTTAGAATTTAATTATTTAATGATATATAATTTATTTATAGAACAATAAAATATTTTTGAGATGGAAGCTTTAGTAGCAGCTGGCGTCGACACAGTTATACTTGCTGTCAGTTATCGTGCTGAACAATTAGAAAAGGAAATGTCGAAATATGCTCAAGATTTAGGTTCATTTTTTTAGCAAATAGAACTAGCAAGATTATCGGATGTGCTAATTTAAAATGGTAAAATATTTTCGGTAATAAATAATGTGAAAAGAACTTGTAAATTCACGATGAATTAAGTTATTGGATCGTCATCTCCATTATGAATCAATTATTATAGGGGTAACTCTGCATATTTCGCTCGAAGATGAACCTTTGGGTACTGCTGGACCTTTGGCGCTTGTTAAACATTTGCTTCGTGGTGACGAACCATTCTTCGTTTTGAATTCGGATATAATTTGTGAGTTTCCATTCGAGAAAATGATTGAATTTCATAAAAAACATGGTCGGGAAGGTACTATCGCTGTCACTAAGGTTTGATTTTTGTCTGATTTAAAAAATTTTTTGTTTCTTTCCTGCTGAATTGGTTTATGGCAATACTTCGCAGGATACGCCCTAACCAAGCTGGATTCAGACTGGGACGCGGTTGTGCCGACCAGATATTTACACTAAGAAAAGTGCTGGAACACCTCTTTAAATATAGTAATTCATGTCACAAGTTTTTTCGATTTTGCAGCTGCATTCGATTCAATTGACAACGCAATTGATAGAGGATGATGGAATGTGACAGTGTTCTAGAGATCTTTTCCTCATAAAGGCATTTTATCAACATAGATTGGCACATCTATATATATGGGGAATTGACAGGCCCTTTTGAAATAAGAACTGATATCCGTTCTTTCCTCTATAATATTCAATTGTGCAATAGACTGGATTAACATGTCTGTCGACTCCTCAGTACAAATTAGTCTAGAACATCATACGACAGATTTCGAATACTCTGGTGATGTGGTCCTTTTTGCTAATGGTCATGACGAAATACAAATAGTGCGAATATAATATAATAATATTAAACAATGTGTCAACAATTGCACTGAAAATCGGAATCAGGATCAATATAAATAAACCGAAAGTCTTTTCGTCTTATTAACAGAAAGATGATAAAATGTTCGTTTTTATCAATTCTTTGTCGACAGAAAGTGCCAGATTTCAAATATCTCGGATCCATTCTAATTCCAAATGGCCGAGCGAAAGACGAAATTGCCATCCATTTAATGGTGGGGACTTGTCACGAAATCACTATAAAAACGAAAGCCCGTGTCTAAGTAGTTTCAGTTATCTCGAGCTATATGGTGATGAAACATGGCTATTGAGAGTGGAGGATATTGAGAAGCTGTCTCTCTTTGATCACTCGTATTTAAGATGCACCTTACAGAGCCGCCGAGCGGATAAAATCGCACATGATTGCTCAAATACTGCTTTCAATATCATCACAGGACATGTCTTCTTTGCTGGTTAGCATGTTCTTCTTCGTCCACCACAGAAATATTTCGTTACTTGTTAAACCTTGTGATGGTATTAAAAGCGAGGTGTTCCAATCAAGGCCTGGAAAGATTTTGAATTTATAGATAGGCCAGTGATATATTGATATATGGTCTGAGATGATGGAAAAAAAATGGCTTCGGTCAGCAATCGGATCAATTAGCTTGGAGGCCCTTGTAGCCAGAGGAGCCTGTCTATTCAGTAATGATGAGAGGCTGTTAGAAGAAGAAGATTTAATTCAAAAATAATTTCCAAATTAAATTTATTGAAACGGTATAATATGCAAAAATAGCTATATAATTAAGGTAGAAGAACCAAGTAAATATGGTGTTTGTATTTTCGATGAAAAAGATGGTAAAATCGACTGTTTCGTAGAAAAGCCACAAGAATATGTCGGAAACAAGGTTCCTTAATCTAAATTGTTTAATTTGCATAATTTTTATTTTTATGTTTGCCTGTCCTATTAATTTATTAAAACATTGATAGCCATTTACCCCAACCAAGTTTCATGAATTCCAAATTTATAATTGTGATTACAAAATATAATAGAATCTGCTCGAGTAAAATTACTATGATAAAATGGAATCTTATGGAAATCTTGAAATTTTAAAATATTATTTGACATTTTATAGATCAGTGCAGGTCTGTACATTTTATCGCCATCTGTTCTGAATCGTATTGAGCTACGTCCCACATCCATCGAAAATGAAATATTTCCGACAATGGCTAAGTCTGGAGAGTTATATGCTTTTATATTACCTGGATTTTGGATGGATGTTGGTCAACCTAAAGATTTTCTTACTGGTTGGTAATTAGATATTGGTCTGTTATTCTTCTGCAGAATGCGTTGTGCAAGCAGTAGAAATCTAAAATTCGGTTCTTGATATTAGCATTAACTGAAATTGCTTTGTTAGGTCAGTGGCAAGATAACTGCGGGTGTCGCTTAACGGAGAAGAAAAAAGAGAATAGAATATCTCAGTGACTTCTTGCTTAGCGCCTGTTCTGAGGAGTTCTATTTATAGCAAGAGTAAACTTGTGTTTTAAAAGTACGAGTAATACTGGCTGCATACTTATTCTCTTATCGCCATTGGATTTCGTGCATATTTTTCTTGTCCAACAACCAGTGGAGCGAGGCTGACCGACATGATCTTAAAAAATTAGTGATTAAATGTTTTTTATCATTTTATTATTGTCTTAATACTTTTTCATTTAGGAATGCAGTTTTATCTAAAATACCTTCATGACAGATCGCCTTCTCAACTCGCTTCCGGTCACAATATTCAGGGCAATGTTTTAATCGACCAGACTGCTATGATCAATAGTGGCTGTGTTATAGGTACTAGGGCTTTTTCATTTTATTTATTTGTATTGCCAATTTTTGCTTTTAAAAAAAAGATTTTGATTTTGATTTTTTTCTATAGTTTTAAATTCCATGGTATTAATATTTATAGGACCTAATGTTGTGATTGGTCCAAGAGTACGAGTTGAAAATGGTGTTCGTCTGCGACATTGCACTGTTTTAGCAGATAGTGTTATTCATGCTCATTCTTGGATTAACGGTTGCATTATTGGTCGCAAGGTACATTTTGATATTTCAAGTTATTTAAAATTAAATCTGTCATAAATTATTCACTTAACTTTTGCGCATAAATTCTCATTTTTTAGTGTACGATCGGCTGTTGGGTTCGTATTGAAAATACAACTGTTATTGGTGAAGATGTTATCGTACGTGATGAATTGTATTTGAATGGCGCTAGAGTACTACCACATAAGGTAATTTCGACAAACGTTCCTGAACCAGATATTATTATGTGATAATACTAAGTTTTTCTTCTTCATTTGGCCTTCAGTCATTCCAGATAATTTTAAAATTGCTTTCTTGTTTTGTTTCGGTTATATGTTTATTTATTTCATCCTTCTTGTTATTTACCTTAATTGCCTTATTGTTATTTAATATTTTATTATATTAAAATCCTTTTTCCATTCCATTTTTATTTTTATTTGCTTCATAATTTTTTACTCATTTATACTAATTGCAGAATGGCATTTTAAATGATTTGCCAATAAATGGCTTCCATTATCAGTTTATCTTTTCCCAGATTTTTTTCAGATTTTTCGGATTTTCAGATCAATTTTAATAAATCTTTAAATTTTTAATTTGAAAGGGATTAGAGATTCAGTTTTTTAACTTTTTTCTCTAAATTTCTCTAAGTTTTAAATTTGTTATTCATTTGATATTCAGATCGTCGGGCTACGGTAATTTATGTGATGTTCCCCATATCATTTTGTTTCTTATTCGTTACGTGTTCTCCTATTTTAATTTAAATAAACCATTCTTTTCTTTTTTTTTATGGAACTGATAATTTCAGTTTCAAAATAACTAATTGGATAAATTAGATATTTTATGCGAAATGGGAAATGTTTTTCTTTTTGAATATTTCCAATGAAGGAAAGGATTCACAAACGCTGTTTTTCAACTGGAGATGACGTGGTTGTAGTTGTGGAAAAAAGTTCCGAGCATTCCGTTTCCCGGACGAAGTGAGTAAGTAGCACTTTGCATGCTTCTGCGGTGGGAGGGGTGTTAGAATTTTGCGGCGTATCGAACCTACTGCGATTTAAGAATGTGGCCGACTTATACCGGGTTCGATCAGAAAATGGAGGAAAATGTGGATCTTAGAAAAATAAGGTTTTTGGTAGCGGCGTACCTCGTGGGAGTTAATGGGGTATAATACTAACTGGCTTAATTTATATTTTTGGGGCTTAATTTATATTTATATGGAGGTGGGTCTGCCTCGTTTCAGGAAATCTGGAAAGTTGTCATTCTTTAGATTTCTTATTTTTTAAATTATTATCCATTTGAATTTATTTTACAAACGTAGAATGTTTTTTTAGCAGATTTATTTTGTAAAATTTTCTACAAACCTAAAGGCGCATATTTTCTGATTGTTTGCGAAAGAACTTTCATTTAGTTTTGTTCGAATGCATATTTTGCGGAAACAATGAGATGAGATTTCATTAATTTTTACTGAATTAAGGAAAAATTATTCGATTATTTTTGATTTTTAATATTATTACTGTTAGCGATAAAAATTTATTTAAGAGTCTGCAAAGAACGTAAGGAGAAAAGATGTCTGGTATTGCTGCAGGACGCTTAGCTGAGGAACGAAAAGCTTGGCGAAAAAATCATCCCTTCGGATTCATTGCTAAACCATCTTCCAATCCCGATGGTACGCGAAATTTATTTAATTGGGAATGTGCCATTCCTGGAAAGAAAGGAACCATTTGGGAAGGGGGACTTTTTAAAGTTCGTTTATGCTTTTTTTTGATTTTGGAGATTTTCGAAAATTTTAAATTCTTATTGGTTTTTTCATTTTACAAATAAACTTCCTTGATAGACTTTGTAGAATTTATTTCACTGCAGTTTGCCAGTTTCTTCATAAATCCGAATTTTATAGTTTATTTGCCATTTGTTCGCATTGTTTATTCGACGATTTATTGTTGCCAAATTTTAATTTCAATATTTTCTTGGTTCTTTTATTTTGAATTTTTGGTTTATTACTTCATATCATTTAGTCGCAGATTACTCTGTTACTTTCATTATTTTAATATTCTTCAATAGTTTATCGTTATGATGAATGGAATACAATAATGAATTTGCCCTTTTTTAAAATGTTGAACATTTTGTTCACCAATTTTTTATATTTGAAGAAAATTTTCTATATAATTTTCAGTAAATTTATAGTTGCGGATGCATTTTAAGGACGATTACCCTTCAACGCCTCCAAAATGCAAATTTGATCCACCTTTGTTTCATCCAAATGTTTACCCATCAGGGACAGTATGCTTATCACTACTTGATGAAAATAAAGTATGTACCAGTCATTCAAAAAAGTATTAAATATTTTGGATGCAGAGGCTAAACAGATTTTTTAGGATTGGAAACCGTCAGTAACAATAAGGCAACTGTTGATTGGTATACAAGATTTGCTGTCAAATCCAAACATTGATGATCCGGCACAAGCAGACGCATATCAGATTTACTGTCAGAACAGGTGAATTTAATTTTCTAATCTTACGTTCATTTCAGTTCCCTTCGTTTTGTCAGATCTATCCTATCGTTGTGGTTGTTTTTTGGATTATTGTAAAACGTATTTCCGAGGATTTTCCGAAATTCCAGAAAATTTTGTGTTTTTATTATATATGGAGAAAAATATAGTTTTTATTATTGCGATTTTTTTCATGTTTAAGCAAGAGATTTACCTATCCTATTTCTGATAATGAACTATTTAATGGTAAGTTAAAACATCATGTTGCACTAGCTTTTCTTTCAACTTTGATTAAATTGCTTATGAAACTATTTTTTCTTGGCTTTTTTATTGGACGTCATTATATGTAAAATAATAAAATAATAAATGATAACTTTTTTCCACTTTTTTCCACTTTTAAGGGTCGAATATGAGAAAAGAGTTCGTCGTCAGGCGTTACAATTTGCAGAAGAAATCGTACAGAAGCAAATGCTGGAAAGATAACGAATATTTTTTTTTTAAATTTTATTTGATCTCCTTTAAATATTCAAAAGAAAAAACTTTCCATAGAATGCAGAAATTCGCTGAATTATGAATTGCTTATTTATTATCTCATGAAAGGTCTTATTCTGCTTTTCAAATTGTTTCATTGGTTTCATTGTCCTTTTGAACAGTATATTATTTCTATTCTTTTGTAAAATGAATATTTGGTCGGTTGAATTGATTTTTTTCAAATTTTCTCGACGACAAACTTTTCTGCCGTAATACTTTTAAAGAAATAAAATTTTGATTCAGATTTTATAAAGAATTCATCTATGTTCTTCAGCAATTTAAAATATTGCGATCCATAGGGATCCATATCATTATAAATGAGCTAAATCCTTCTACTTTACATCCTTTTTTAACACCAAGAAGTTACAAATTAGCTGCAAAACAATTATAAATTAAAAAATCATGAAATGGATTAGCTATATAAATGAAGAGCGAAATGGCCAATCAAAAATGAACTAGGAATTATTACAGATCAAGTTGAGACACTGGTAGTTCCTCGTCGCGAGCACAAAGTGTGTCGATGCTTGTCTTTCTGCAGTTGATTTTCAAAATTACCTACACTTCAGCAATTATCTCTCGAGCCTGATTCTTCTGATTCTGGTATTTCGCTAGTATTCTGTCGCATAGACCATCGCTTAAACCGATTCCAACGTAAATTGGCTCTGCAAGGCATATAACAACAAAACAAAGAAAGTTTTCGATTTGATAATAAGCCAAAAAATTTTCTTGTTATTTATTCTCATTAAAATTAAAGAGGTCCAAAACAAAATAACGAACTAACTTTCGATATGATACATTACACTTTATGCTTCGGCGCTTTCGTTTTCTCATTTCATTAGATGGCAATTTTTGTAATCCTTCAAATAAATAAATAAATTTAAATTCAAATAAATTTTTTAAAATTCCTTTTTTCTATATAAATAACTTTTCCCCTTTAAAATATCCATTTAAAACAAATATCCATTCCTTTTAACAACATTAATCATTAGATTTGGCTGGCTCCACTAACTAAAAGGATGAGATCTTTTTGTAACAGAACCGCTGGGAAATAAAAATATAAATGGATTCTAGCTTAGATTTTACGATGGACTAATTTTCATTAGTAAATAGCATATATTAATCAAATTAAAAATACCACTCGATCATTTTGCAGCACTTACAATAATTATTTTGAAACGAAAGAGAAAAGAAGATAATAAGATCGGCATTTGCGGAAAACTAATCACTTTTTAATATCATAAAACTTAACCTTTTAAAACTTTGATTCCATTATTTCTCAATGTTAGTAATTCATAAATTCTTTCTTTGGTTGAATTATAATCTATAACGAAAAGTAATCTATAATGAAGAAGAAATTTGAATTTTAAAAATGAATTTTAAAAAAATTTTTCATTAGTAAATGAATTTTTCCATTGAATTTCCTCTGATTAATTCATATTATGATGATCACTTTGTCACGATAAACAAAATTCCAGAATTAATTAAGATGAAAACCAACTTGTGATAATATTAAGTAATCGCATAAGTTCTCTGCGTCTAACAACTTGATGAGCTTTATTTATTAATGAGCCAAGGCGGTGATTCTTCCGCATAACACCATTATATTTTTGATTATATGCTATTGTCGACCATTTCTCATCTGTTTTCTGAAAAATTTAAGGAAAAAATTTCCCAAAATTTAAATTTACAGCCATGAAAACAGTTCTATTTATTTTCAATCAATTCTTTCATAAAATATATGAAATTTTATTACACAAAATTTGCAATTTTTGGTAACAAAATCATACCCAACTGCTAAAAAATAGAACCTAATATAATAATAAATGTATCAAAATAATAAGGAAAATATGAAAAAATATGAGACAGTCAGGAAAGACTTTGAACGTATAGGGGGACCAGCGATATATGGACTTAGACGATGGAAAAAGGAATGGCTTCTATTACTAATATGGCGTCGGACCGGGCAGCTTGCAGACATCTTATTCTTGTAGCCAGCGAAGCCAGCTTAATAAGTAATAGTGAGAGCTATTAGAAGAAAAAGAAGGGAAAATATGAGAAAAGAAAAATTTGAATCTCGACCATGACTTACTTTGACCATTTCAAAGAACTGATTTACGAGTTCAAATTCACGAATAATTCCTTTTCTAACTTTTCGCTGCTTCAAAATTCTATTATACCGTTGAACTTTCGCCAATTTAACTTCTGAAATAATAAAAAAATTCCAGCATTTTCAAAAATATCCACTTCTTCAACAAACTTTAAATCTCCTTAAAATCGGCTTTAGTATAACCACATAATGCAGCTGCGATGACCTCAACAATTGGCAAATATGGTATCGGAGACCGGTATGCCAATGGGGAACGTCTTCTTCGTTATGCCGAAGAGCATGAACTTTTTGTTACTAATATTTGCTTCCGGCATCATAGATAACATCTAGTCACGTGGAACTCCCTGGACAACCAACACTTCAACCAGATTGATTAGATCTTAGTCAATTGCCGTTGGAAGAGTTCCATACTAGATAGTCGTTCCTATCGCGGAACTGAAATCGAGGGGCGATCTTCATGGATCTGATCATGTTATGGTTCGAGCCAAGATCCGCATAAAATTGACAACTCGCAGAAAACAGCATCCCCCAAGTTCCTTCAACTATCTCAAACTAAAAAATTCGGGGAGTGAGCGCATTTCAAACCGAATTATTGAAGCATCTCAATGATACAAATATCAATGATTATTCTGGAACGGCAAATGAATACTGGTCCAAACTAAAAGAATGTCTCCGAAAATCAGCCACTTTCACGCTAGGGCATACTAGTAAGAAGTGCGCTAGTTGGGTATCGGAAGCAACTGTCCAATTGTCTGAAAAAGCTGCCAAAGCACGAATGTCAGGTGATCCTGTCTACCAGGTGCTTCGAAAATTTGCAACGAAGTCAGCAAGGCAAAGCGGGACAGAAATCTCTATTGGAATGACATGGCCTCAAGAATGGAGACTGCCGCTCGATTAGGCGACAATAGGAAAATATTCTGCCTTCTTCATAAAACAACTATAATTCGGGGAACGATCAGTGAAATGTTAAGAGACAGCAATGGCGTACTAATTAAAAGTATTAAGGATTGGCTCATAAGATGGAAAGAATTCTTTGAGGCTAAACTTAACCATGAAGCGCCATCTGTTGCCCCTGATATAGCTAATACGTTTGCCGAAGGATACGTTTGCAGTTGCGAGCCTACAAAAGAAGAAATAATTTCAGTTATCCATAAATTTAAGGCCAACAAAACTCCAGGAGAAGATGGTCTTCGGGTTGAGTTTTTCAAATGCTGTCCATCGTCCTCCATAACGTACCTTCAACAAATGTATTCTTTAGTATGGAAAAAAGAAATATTACCAGATGATTGGAGCAAAACAATTCTGCTCCCAAATCTCAAGAAAGGTGATAGGACATATTGCGACAATTATCGAGGAATCAGCCTATTAGACATCTTAAAATTTAGCAAAAATAAATTTAATAAATAAATAAAATTAGCAAAAATTTTTGTTCCCTGCTATTCAACAGACTTATGGAAGTACGGGAGAGCAGGATGAGCCCTATTCAAACTGGTTTCAGACCAGGGCGCGGTTGTGCTGACCAGATATTCATGTTAAGAAGAGTGTTGGAACATCGCTTCAAATATTTGCAACCCACTGTCACGTGTTTCATCGACTTTACTGCTGCCTTTGATTCAATTGATAGAGCGGCGCTTTGGAGGATGATGGAACGTAATAGTGTTCCAACGAAAATCATTAGACTCATAAAGGCATTTTATGAGCACACGTCGGTGCAGATCTGTATATATGGGGAGTTGACAGATTCCTTCGAAATAAGAACATGTGTCCATCAGGGCTGCGCTCTTTCCCTCAATATTCAACTATGCGATAGATTGGATAATGGACACTGTTTGTCGGCAAGAAGTAGTCCAGGGCATCGTATCACAGATCTTGAATACGCTGATGCTGTAGTCCTTTTTGTTGACAGTTATAACGAAATGCAAGTAATAGTAAATAACGTGTCAGAAACTGCAGCAAGAATCGGGCTCTGGATCAATGTAAATAAAACGAAAGTTTTTTCGTCTTATGTACAAGAAGCTGATAAAATGCCTCTTTTTGTAAATTCATTGCCAGTTGAGGAAGTATCTGATTTCAAATACTTTGGGTCCACTCTAATACCAAATGGACAGGCAAAAGATGATATTATAACTCGGATCACGGTTGCTAGAAATGTTCTTCCGGTTGACGAAACCTTTATGGAATCGTCGTGAAATCACCATAAAAACGAAAGTCCGCATCTATATTGCCGTGATCCCTTCGATCTTACTATATGCTTCTTAGACATGGCCAATGAGAGTGGAGGATATTAAGAAGTTATCTGCTTTTGACCACTCTTTTCTAAGGTATATTTTATGGGTTCACCGAGTGGATAAAATCTCAAGATCCCATCCACCTTCGTTCAAATACCACTTGCATAAGTAATGTTATCACAGAGCGCCGCCTTCGCTGGTTAGGGCACATTCTCCGTCGTCCACCACAGGAGTTTACGCATATTTCGTTATTTGCTAAATCGTGTGACGGTTGGCGTCAAAAGCGAGGTGGGCCAATCAAGACCTGGACTGATACGCTCAAGAAAGATTTTGAATGTATAGGTGGACCAGCAATATATGGACTTAGACGATGGAAAAAGGAATGGCTTCCATTACTATTGACGATGGCATCAGACCGCGCCGCTTGGAAGCGTCTTACTCTTGTAGCCGTTGGAGCCAGTCAACCAGTAATGGTGAGAGCTGTTAGAAGAAGAAGAAGTATAACCACATTCTGTTATTCATTATTAATGCAATTTCTATTTCAGAAAATTTTACTGATGAAAAACAGATCTGTTCTACGCTTCGATTTTTATAATTCGTGAAAAACAATTTTACATCATATTTAAAATTATTTAAAATATATTGTAAGAAAATTCACGTACGATTTTCAAAAGCCGTATCTTCATCACCAAGGGTCGAAGGTTGTAAACATAAACGACTTATTAAACGCTCCGCATCATTCATATATTCCTAAAATAGATAAGGTATTTCTAAAATTTTTATAATTCAAAAATAAATCAAGAAGAAATCAAGTGAAATAAAAAAATTTAAAGACTGTAAGAAAAACCCATTCAAAATCATCGCGATCAGGCATGTAAGCAAGCAACTGCAAATCGTCTTTATTTAATTTCGAAACTTCTTCCGATCCTAACAGCGGTGGAGATCGGATAGCATAGTAATGTTCAGGATATGTTTCTCGCAATTTTTCTATATTTCTCTCACTGAGATTTACAGAAAAAACAGATCGTTTAATTTTTTCCTGGAAGAATAAAGAAAAAATGGACAAAAATTAAAAAAACTGCAAAGAAGCCAAATGGTTAGCTTGTGTATTCAGTATTCAGTATCAAAGGAAAAAATAAATAGTGATCTGAAAAGAAGCGGTAACCTTAAAAGCGACTTTTTTCGCATTTCCATTTCGACTTTTCCTTGAAGTCAGATTTTTTAAATGATCGAACGAACTGTCACCAGCAAAGGGATCAAAGATATCTACAGCGAGTTCTGTTATCAACGAGAAACAACATGCGTTAAATCAACAAAGAAACATGGACCATCAAAATGAATAAAGAAATTAACGAAAAAAAGAAACCTTCCTCTTCGTCATCAGAACTCTGCATCCCGATATATGTAGCATGTGAACATCTGAATGATTTACGCAATGATTTTGAACAATATTTATCAGAATCGTTTGTGCAACAAACATGAGCATTTAGCGAATCATCGACCTTTAAATGCGACAAGAAAATTTTATAAAAAGGATAGTCATAAAAAGAGATAAAATTTAGATAATGTAGACTAAATAGTTGAAATAAACGATAAATCACTTTATATTTTCTCTAAATTTCGCAAGCTAATTAAATGAATAATGACCTACAAGTAAACAACAATAAAAGATAAAAGATAATAAAAACATTTATAAGTTCAAAAAATAATCGTAAAAAATTAATTTAATATAGAAATAAAAAGTTAAAAGAAAATGTTACTATAAAAATTGTACAATTTTCTAAAAACTTTCAGATTTAGTTTCATTAAACCTTATTCACCTCATCTTCACTGCATGATCCAGTTTTCCAAATGCGTTGATGACTATCGAACCTTTTAATATTTGCCTAAACAAAATTTCTTTGAACAAAAGTTCAAAACGTTCTTTCTGCAAAATTTTTTCAAATTATTGGTTTTATTGTGTAAATAATTACAATAATCGTTTCAGGTCCAAATGAAACAGGTGATAACTGCGGAGTATCCAATATACGATTGATGGACAGTGAACGACCAGACGATGCTTCAACATAAAACTTGTTCTCATCGATTTCAATAGGTAAATTCTGTTCAGGTTTTATCTGTGAAAGCTCTTTTTTGAACAAATCAAACCAATTTTTATCGCTGAAATCCACAATTCCACTCCAACGTTTCATGTATTCTGATATATCTAAAATAGAAATATAAGAAATATAAAAAAAGAGATATATGAGATATATATATATATATAAATGGCACATAATAAATTAAAACATAAACGAATTACATAAACAAATATAACAATGGAATCGAAATAGAAACTTTGCTTGGGTGAAATAAACAAAAAGTACATTGGAATCGAGAAGGACCAGCTCCAAAACGACGTTTACCAAGATAAATGGGTGCACGTTCAGGCTCACTCGGATCTTCTTTTGTCATATCATCAACAAACGGCCTAAATATCGAATTAAAAGAAATTTTAAAAATGTGTTTTTTATAAATATATATCCAGATGTGATTATGGTTTACGAGTGCATATGTTTTGTTACAAGAAATAACTAATATGTGCACAATTAATTCTCGCAAAATCGATAGAAAAGAAAACGTATTTAAGTCTTTTTCTTCCTCTAACAGCTCTCACCATTACTGGTTAGGCTACAAGAGTAAGACGCTTCCAAGCGGCGCGGTCTGATGCCATCGTCAATAGTAATGGAAGCCATTCCTTTTTCCATCGTCTAAGTCCATATATTGCTGGTCCACCTATACATTCAAAATCTTTCTTGAGCGTATCAGTCCAGGTCTTGATTGGCCCACCTCGCTTTTGACGCCAACCGTCACACGATTTAGCAAATAACGAAATATGCGTAAACTCCTGTGGTGGACGACGGAGAATGTGCCCTAACCAGCGAAGGCGGCGCTCTGTGATAACATTACTTATGCAAGTGGTATTTGAACGAAGGTGGATGGGATCTTGAGATTTTATCCACTCGGTGAACCCATAAAATATACCTTAGAAAAGAGTGGTCAAAAGCAGATAACTTCTTAATATCCTCCACTCTCATTGGCCATGTCTAAGAAGCATATAGTAAGATCGAAGGGATCACGGCAATATAGATGCGGACTTTCGTTTTTATGGTGATTTCACGACGATTCCATAAAGGTTTCGTCAACCGGAAGAACATTTCTAGCAACCGTGATCCGAGTTATAATATCATCTTTTGCCTGTCCATTTGGTATTAGAGTGGACCCAAAGTATTTGAAATCAGATACTTCCTCAACTGGCAATGAATTTACAAAAAGAGGCATTTTATCAGCTTCTTGTACATAAGACGAAAAAACTTTCGTTTTATTTACATTGATCCAGAGCCCGATTCTTGCTGCAGTTTCTGACACGTTATTTACTATTACTTGCATTTCGTTATAACTGTCAACAAAAAGGACTACAGCATCAGCGTATTCAAGATCTGTGATACGATGCCCTGGACTACTTCTTGCCGACAAACAGTGTCCATTATCCAATCTATCGCATAGTTGAATATTGAGGGAAAGAGCGCAGCCCTGATGGACACATGTTCTTATTTCGAAGGAATCTGTCAACTCCCCATATATACAGATCTGCACCGACGTGTGCTCATAAAATGCCTTTATGAGTCTAATGATTTTCGTTGGAACACTATTACGTTCCATCATCCTCCAAAGCGCCGCTCTATCAATTGAATCAAAGGCAGCAGTAAAGTCGATGAAACACGTGACAGTGGGTTGCAAATATTTGAAGCGATGTTCCAACACTCTTCTTAACATGAATATCTGGTCAGCACAACCGCGCCCTGGTCTGAAACCAGTTTGAATAGGGCTCATCCTGCTCTCCCGTACTTCCATAAGTCTGTTGAATAGCAGGGAACAAAAATTTTTGCTAATTTTATTTATTTATTAAATTTATTTTTGCTAAATTTTAAGATGTCTAATAGGCTGATTCCTCGATAATTGTCGCAATATGTCCTATCACCTTTCTTGAGATTTGGGAGCAGAATTGTTTTGCTCCAATCATCTGGTAATATTTCTTTTTTCCATACTAAAGAATACATTTGTTGAAGGTACGTTATGGAGGACGATGGACAGCATTTGAAAAACTCAACCCGAAGACCATCTTCTCCTGGAGTTTTGTTGGCCTTAAATTTATGGATAACTGAAATTATTTCTTCTTTTGTAGGCTCGCAACTGCAAACGTATCCTTCGGCAAACGTATTAGCTATATTAGCTATATCAGCTATAGTATTAGCTATATCAGGGGCAACAGATGGCGCTTCATGGTTAAGTTTAGCCTCAAAGAATTCTTTCCATCTTATGAGCCAATCCTTAATACTTTTAATTAGTACGCCATTGCTGTCTCTTAACATTTCACTGATCGTTCCCCGAATTATAGTTGTTTTATGAAGAAGGCAGAATATTTTCCTATTGTCGCCTAATCGAGCGGCAGTCTCCATTCTTGAGGCCATGTCATTCCAATAGAGATTTCTGTCCCGCTTTGCCTTGCTGACTTCGTTGCAAATTTTCGAAGCACCTGGTAGACAGGATCACCTGACATTCGTGCTTTGGCAGCTTTTTCAGACAATTGGACAGTTGCTTCCGATACCCAACTAGCGCACTTCTTACTAGTATGCCCTAGCGTGAAAGTGGCTGATTTTCGGAGACATTCTTTTAGTTTGGACCAGTATTCATTTGCCGTTCCAGAATAATCATTGATATTTGTATCATTGAGATGCTTCAATAATTCGGTTTGAAATGCGCTCACTCCCCGAATTTTTTAGTTTGAGATAGTTGAAGGAACTTGGGGGATGCTGTTTTCTGCGAGTTGTCAATTTTATGCGGATCTTGGCTCGAACCATAACATGATCAGATCCATGAAGATCGCCCCTCGATTTCAGTTCCGCGATAGGAACGACTATCTAGTATGGAACTCTTCCAACGGCAATTGACTAAGATCTAATCAATCTGGTTGAAGTGTTGGTTGTCCAGGGAGTTCCACGTGACTAGATGTTATCTATGATGCCGGAAGCAAATATTAGTAACAAAAAGTTCATGCTCTTCGGCATAACGAAGAAGACGTTCCCCATTGGCATACCGGTCTCCGATACCATATTTGCCAATTGTTGAGGTCATCGCAGCTGCATTATGACCTACACGCGAGCATTCCAGTCTCCCCCGATTATGATCATGTCATGTTTCGGTAGAGACTTTGTTAGCAGTTGAAGTTCCGCATAGAACTTTTCTCGATCTGCCGACAGAATTGGAGCATAGACACTGATGAACGAGATATTGCAGAACTTACCCTTAAAACGGGTATAGGCCATACGGTCGTTTACCGGTTTCCACTCAATCAAAGAGGAATGTGCCTTGTCAGACATAGCAATCGCTACGCCATTTCGTCCCGAGTTATTCGAAGCACCACAGTGATATAGCCAGTATCTCTGCTCTGAACCAGGATTAATAATTTCTCGAGAACCAAAGCGAGGAAGACGGACCTCTAACAATCAAGCGATATCCACACGATACTTAGACAGGGTGTGGACAGTGATCGCTTGGCTTGCAACGTCCATAAGCGTTCTAACGTTCCACCCTGATACGGCTAATACCTCGCCACGGGTGCAGAGGGCTGTTCCCCTTCTTGATAGGTTTTGAGCAATTATCCTGGCTTGAAGCATTTTATTTACCATCCTTGGGATCGCTTTAAGCTCGGATTGTAAACTTATCGCAAGTACCGCGTGTCGAGAGACGAGGACGCCGTATCAAATGTATCTGACCCTTTTACCATAGAGTCACTTGGGGATAGAGTTACAGGTGGGTCCCCAGCAATCACCCGGATTTTTTGACATAATAGCAGGTTTACTTCTGCCAAAGACAAAAAAAAATTAAATTTGAAGAAAATAATAAAATGGACGATGAAATTTAAAAAATATATATATATATAATTATATGTATATATATATGAAATATATATATATTATACAATTTAATTGATTTGATTTTAATTTATTTTATTTTAATCGTTGTTTGGTAAAAAAAAATTAAAAGTTCAAGAGAACTTAGCTGAATTGTTATCAGAAATAATTCCCAAGTAAAACCAAATAAATCGAGAATAATTTTTTAAAACGACCGCTCGCCAAACAAAAATTTTTGAAATTTTCAATGTGATTATCTTAACATTTTAATATTTAAACAGTACAATATATAAGAGAGTAATTCAAAACTAACCAATGAAGATTACTAGTCGCATATTGACCAAAAAATCCACGCACAAAATATCGATCAAAATGAACTCGAGTTTGTTCGGCAGTTTTACCCGTACTTATGCATTTCGAAATTTCTTCCCTAAATAACGTGGTATAATAAAATAAAATTTCAAAAAATCACGCTTTTACCCGAAAAGAAGGATAGAAGAATTTTTTATCAAACTGCGAGAAAGAAAAAACCAGTTTCCAAGTTTAAGTTTGTGTGTTGCCATTAATAACTGCTGATCTTCCTTCCAACCCCAACGACCTTGTTGTACATCGTTCCGATCAGTTTTGAATATTGGTTGACCAAATGGATCAAATGTTTGATAACTATGACTACGTTTATGACTTCCACATTCCACACCCATTCGAAAACACTGTAATATTGAAATATAAATATTAGAATATTAATACTGATATTAGAATATTAATATTAAAAATATTAAAAATGTTAATAAAATATTGAAAAATAGATAATCTCAAATGCATTGATTATTTATTTGAGTCGATTAAAAAATTCACAGATCATTTAATGAACCTTGAAACAAAGGAAAATATCCAAATTTTTTTTGCTACAGTCCACACATCGGATGTATACGTCTTTATTTTCATATAAAATGATCTCACAATTAATACATAAATATTTTTGTGAAATATCCGCTTCGCTCATTTTTTTCTGGAAATTTCTTAAAAAACGTAAGGAATATTTATAAAAAATGCAGTAAATAAATAAATAACTGGCTGAAAACTTGAAGATAAAAATAAAATATCCGAAAAGTGAGCGAGAAAAATTATAAAAATTATAAAAAAATTTTGAAAAATTGTTGAAAAATTTGGAAAAATTAAAAATTTGAAAAATTGTTTCTTTCTGATATTTTTTTAAATTTTACCATTACCACTTTAAGAGACTTAAGAAATAACAAAATATTTAGTTTAGAATTCGCATAGTGATTTTTAAATTTATCACAATGATTTCTGAAGATTGAATTTTTGAAGATAACAAAAAAGAAAATTTATAAAAAGCTACCATATTTGTACAAATTTATTTATTAAATTTATTTCGTTTATTTGAAACAATTTTTTCTTAAATTTATTCATTTACTATAAGAATGTAAAGCACAATGGCTTAATGTGTTCTTGTTCATATTTCAGAGTGCCAATGCTGAGGTTATTACCAAATCTATCTTTTAAAAATACGAGTAATGATGACGACTCAGTTCAATCTCTAATATCTCTAAATGATATCCTGGAAAAATTTATCCGTTACGAGCAGCCAATGAAATAGGCTTATCCAGAAATAGTGAACGCTCTTAGAAAAAAATTTAGCATAAGTAGAAGCAAAGGGATCAAATTAATTTATCATTAATACCATTAACAAATCATCAAAATTCTTCCAGTAAGTACCGATACTACATATACTGGCTTTGCTGGCTACAAAAGAAAGGTCTTTCCATGTCCTTCAATCCAAAGCCTACCTCTCTTCTGAATATATCTATAGAGATCTCGACAGGATCATAGCGCCAGTATCAACAGATTTAATACAGGCATTCAATATCATAGGCACAGATGGCCTAATGGCCTAAGCATAGGCAGCGATTGGAGGATATACATGAGGACATACCTTAGCCAAAAAATGGTTCAAAATAAGTAACTTCTTGATAATCTTCACTCATCTTTCGCTAAATAACAGATGTAAAATAATAGATTTTGCGTACTGGACCTTAAAGTAAACTTTTTTACATGATAATTTCAAGGCGATTCCAGAAAGGTTTCGACAAGCAGAAAAACTATTAGTAGCAAATATCCAGAATGGATCAGCAGATCAAAATATACTTAAAATCATTTCTTTAACCTGTAATGAATTTATGGTAATTGCTAAACTGTCATCTAATAATGGTCCTTTTTCCCACACCAATAACCACATCTTCCGAAAGTGAGTTGCAGAAGAAATCATTTTAATTTGAAGAGTACAGTTTAGAATTTCAGTCCATTCTTTCTGGGAGTTTTATTTATCTTTATCTTGAACTCTTCAGTACCATTTCTTGCTATATTGGCGTTTTGCAGTTGTGATCACATGGCTCGAAAAGCAAAAAGCGTTTTGGTAACATCAGCGATAATATATGGTCATCATCGCTAGATATAATAACCCTCTTCATCGTAAAAATCGGTCATAGTAACAGCAAGCACTTCTTTCTTTCTTTCTTATTTCAAATCATTTTACTCATCATCTATTATTCTCGAGCAGAAATCTCCACATCCAATAGGTTCAATGTGCAAGATTTAAAGCACCTAATAGCTGAGACTTTAATATGCTCGATTTTTTGGTCAATTCTTGCGAAAATAACTCGTTCCCCGATAGCATACCTAGTGTGGAGCATAACCTAAATTGGACTTTTAGCGACATACCATTTATTTTGTTTATTGAAAAAACCAAATCATTTTTTGGGACCAATGCTCATCAACCATTCCAGAGGCAATGCTGATGTTTGATTCATTGAGATATCCATATCTCTAAAGTCCAATTTCCTTATCTTAACATATTCCGAAAATTTTCGGGAATATCTGATAAGTTTTCGTTACCATCTTTTTGTAAATCTTGCTTCGAACCATAACATAGTCTGATCTCCAATTTCAACGAAGCCATGGCGACGGTTATCCAATTCAGAAACCTTTTAACAACTGACCAGAATATAACCAAAACCAAACTGATTTGATTATTGGTAAGGAGTTCCGAGCCTCCAGGTGCTGAAAATGATGGCGAAAAAAATACGTGCAAAGCTAAGAAAAAAGAATACATGGTTGACCAACAAACTTCTTATCGACATTTTTCGCAAAGATCGCCCATTTTACAGAATTATGCAAAGAAATTTTATATCCTCAAAACAAATGCTTGCATGAAATTTCCAAAATAATAACTTTGATCGCAAAATAACTGCAAAAAATAACCCGTAATGTAGGACAAATTCACTTTATAAATCGGATTACATCTTCCATTCTTAGGAAAAAACTTAATTCGAGGATAACTCAATTGGTGATTGACCCAATTCAAAATTCAAGGATCTGAAAATTCATATTTTCCTATCCTCGACGATATATCCAACCACGTCAATACCAGTATAAATAAATATTTTAAAAGAAATAAAATTTCAGCAATTAAAGAATTCATACAGAGCTCTGACACTCCCCTCAGGATAAAATTTCAGAATAAAAGCACAATTTCACACAGTTTTTGAAATATATCGACGGGATTAAATCTTCTTGAAAATGAAATTTAGCCAAGGAACATTTATTTCGAAAAATAGAGAGCTATTCTAATATATCGTCGGATTATTCGTCCTTATTACTCAAAAAAATGAGTTGTTGGCAATGGAAAGAAGATAGACGAAAAACACGCTCAGCGATGCTTTGTGATACTGAGTCGAGCGAAGAGGGGTGCAGTCAGCTAGAGCTCAGTTGGCTTGAAGCACACTTAGGGTGCAGGGAACCTTTTTTGCATCGAGCTCGTGCAAGAAAAATATTTTTCCCATCAAGCCCTTTAGAATTTTTGCATGCGCATTACTTAAGAAATGTTTTTAAGATGGTTGTTAAATACATTTTTTGAAAAGTTAAAAATTTAGTGGATTTTCATTCTTCTTCTAATAACTCTCACCATTACTGATTAGGCTGCTTCCTGATTTTTGTTTCACTCAATAGACTTTTACTCAATAGACTTATGGAAACATGGAGACAGCAGAATGCGCCTTAAGCTGGATTTAGAATGGGTGATGCAGTTGTGCTGATCAGATATTTACATTAAGAAGGGTGATGAGAAGCTTGGAAGGTACATCGCTTCAAATATTTGCAACCTACCGCCATGTGTTTCATACTTTGCAGCTGCTTTTGATTCAATTGATGTTCCAGAGAAGACCACGCGATTCTTAAAGACATGAGTGCAGATCTGTGTATATGGAGAATCCTTCGAAAAAAGAACTGGTGTCCGTCAAGGTTGTGTCGCCTACAATATATATAACTATGCGATAGACTAGATAATAGACACTGCTTGTCGGGACTCAAGAGATGTGTGAATCAATCCAGAACATCGTATCTCAAATCTTGAATAAACTGATGATGTAGTCCTTTTTGATGACAGTTATGATATGATAATGCAAATAATGCTAAACGTATCAGCAAGTGCAGCGAGAATCGAACTCAAGGTCAATGTAAATAAAACGAAAGTCTTTTCATCTTATGTAGAAAAAGCTGATAAAATGCTGTTTGATCTCGCTATGTGGCTGCGAGACATGGTCAATGAAAATAGACAATATTAGGAAACCTTTGACCACTCAATTACATTCTACGGGTTCGTCGAGTGATAAAATCTCATTTGATCGCATCCACCTTCAAATACCACTTGAATTAACAGTACCATCACAGAGCATCGCCTTCGCTGGTTACGACACTTTCTTCGTCGCCACAAGAAGCGTATTTCGTTACTTGCTAAACCGTGTGATGGATGGCGTCAGAAGCGAGATGGGTCAATCAGGACCTGGACTGATACGGTCAGGAAAGATTTTGAACGCATAGGTAGACCAGCAATATATGGACTTAGAAGATGGAAAAAGGAATGGCTTCTACCAGCTTCTGCTAGCGATAGCGTCGGACCGAGCAGCTTTAATTACTGTTATTCAAATTTAAATCTAATGTTATCTCGAGTCTCGAAACGATATTATGTTTGCGGTATTTTGTACGGTTACCATGCGGTTTTGAGATGCGTTGCCAATTTTGTTAACGTAATTTCTACGAATGAAAAAATGAAGTTGTACGACGTTGTATCGTAAATATGCATAAATGTGCGTGAGTTGCGATGAATTCCGTCGAATAGCGAAGAAATTCTTCCGAACAGTTTTCTCGAGTAATTCTTAATTTTGAACGTATTTATCGTTTTTATAATTTCTAATTTCCGACTTCATTTTATGGTCCCAATTTGTTGTTCTTCGTGCGCAATATCCAGTTTCATGACAGTTGCTCGTTCCCTATGAACAATTTTCCACGAACATTTGTATCGAAATGAGAAAAAACTGAATAATTTATGAATAACGGAATGGTTTCATCGTGAGCGATGTAATAGCATTGAGAATAGCTGAAGGAGCGAGGATAATTTGAAAATAATCTTGCACAGTTTTTAGGGTTGAATAGCACTATTAATGGATAATCGGATTTGAATTTATCTTCTCTGAAATTTTATTCTAATCGTCTACATTAATTGGCGAACAAACTGAATTTGGTAAGATTTCTTCTCTCTTGGTTGGTTGACGTTCTCTAAAATCGTCATTATTTTGGCATTTTTTTAAAAAAATTTGCGAGTAAGCGAGGTGAATAATATTACGAAATGGCAAAGTTTGAAAAAGAAAGCAAGAAATTCGGAAATTAAAATCATTTTTTACTTATCTTTGGTTTATGATTTAGCCGCAAAGGCTCGTAGATCTCTCAAGTTTGGTAAAATTTTCGATTTTTCGCATTTCCCTTCTACATTTTTCAGCAAATAATGTGAAAAAATAATGGATGCAACTTTTAAAGTCGATATGGACATTGGAGAAAGCATAATTAGGCAAGGATTTTTGTGTCCATTTTGCATGCAAGATCTCGGTGAATTAGCGTATTTACATGCGCATGTCGAAAAATTTCATCCTGAATCGATTCCAACTTCGGATGCTTTTGATCACCTAAAAGGTTAATTTCTGCATCTTTTTAACATTGTTTAAAATGAGCTTTTTATGCGTTAATGCTTAGCAATTTGAAGGTTTCATTGATAAAGCCAAGCAAAAAATTCGAAAATTCGATAGTCCATTCTCTAGTCTCGATTTACCGTCTTTGGCTGTGATTTCATCGTCAAACGATGGACAACAAAATACAAAAGAAATGAGAAAGGAAAAAGGGGATCAAGGTCTACTCTCCGGATATGCGAAAAAATTTTATCAAGAGATTGGTGGGCATTATTTTTGAATTCTCTTTTTTGATTAATATTTCAGACTTCCGTTTCATTTTTTAGATAAAATTTCATCGTTAGTTTATCGTATTTTTTTAATTTATTAATTATTTAGGTTTATCATATAGTCACACTGATTATTTAATCAAATGTCGTGCACCTTGTATCAATGAATCGGCTGTACAAACTAATAATTTAATTATTCGTCTCGATAAATTGATAAATCAGTGTCCAGAAGATATCAATAAACGCAAAGGTCAAGCGATTTCGTCAAATATTCTCAAGCGATTTCGTCAAATATTCTATTTTATATTATTTTATGATATATAATTCATTCATCGAAAAAAAATTTTAATAAGCTTTAGCATTTGAAAAAGAAACAGTTCCATGGGTGGATAATAGCCAAGCTTCTGTTTGTTTTAAGTGTAACCAGAAATTCGTACTGACAAAAAGACGGCATCATTGTCGATTGTGTGGTCGAATTATGTGTCATTCTTGTTCAAGATTTCTCTCGTTTTTCACAGCTCGTTAGTTTTTTCGAATATTGTCACCACTGGAGCTTTTAAAAATGCATATTGTTTATGAAAACCCTTGGATGTAAAACTCAGAGACTATTGTTGCTTGCGTTTGTTTTTTCTAGTTTTTTTTTTGTAATTAACAAATTCTTTCGGTTTTTTCGCATTATTATTTTCAGGCAAACTAACTAATCCTGCTTATGCTGCTCAAATGATAGAGGAGATAAATCTATCCAATCAAGAAAGAGAAACTGAAGCTCATTCTTCTAATCAACGACCATTATCTCGTTCAGTTTTTAGTACTAAAGTTTTAAAAAACGCTGTTTCTGGTGATTCACTGAGTTCGATGAAACGCAAAAGTGAAAAAATACTTGTCTCAACAATGTCAATCATAAAAGGCGAAACCGGAGAAGTCAGTTTATCGTCGTTGCTACAACAGGTTATGGTGAAATATCTATCTCTTCATCATCTTTTTAGCTTTACTTTTTGTTTTCCTTGATAATTATTCATCTTCTAATACTACTGATTAGACTGTTCCCAACAGGCTACCACTTGAATATATAGGAAATAGACCATTTGAAATTGACCATTTTTATTATTTTGCTTCTATTGTTACTTTATTCTGTATTAAAGATTTGAATAGTTTATTTGATTTCCTTTCGTTTTATTACATATATAAAATTTTTTTTAGTGGGTCACTTTTTCAATTTATAGATCAACGTAGATTTAGATTTTTGTAGCTATAGATACACATTATATAGGATCATCATTTTTCTTAATTGAATTACTTGTTATTTTATAAAAAAACTTTACTCCCTATGACTGGCTATGATCATCCTCAATCTCAGATTCTCTTCCACAGGCGTGCGATTGAGGGTTCTGCGCAATATCTTACCTGTTTCTAATAGCTTTCTTTTAGATAGAGATCTCTATGTTATTCCTGGCATCTGTTGAAGCCGTCTTTTTAATTTAGGTCACGGTTCCAAATGTTTCGATTATCACTGGGATTGCTCTGGCCTTTACATTCCCCTTCTTCTATAGTTCTTCTTCCAGCCCTTAGTATTTCTCTAACTTCTCATATTCCTTGTTTCTGACGTACCTGTCGTTTAATATTGTTATTTCAGTAATCTGATTTTTGATTCTTGTCTACTACCATAATATCTGGTTGATTGGCCAGTACTTATTTGGCCGTTTATATTGGGAAGTCCCACAAGATTTTATATATATATATGTATATATATAGTTTTTAATATTTTCATTTTAATGATTTTTAAAATTCAGAAATTTAAAAATTTAAATTTTCTAAGAATTCCCGGTTAGAATTCGAAAAAGAAGGTTTTCGAGTTATCTTTACATTTTAGGACGCAAATGAACATCTTCGAATTTGTGAACTTTGCAAGAATCTTTTGGACCAACGTGATGAAAAAATGGATCAATTAGCTTCGCCTCCAATGATTGTCGTTCTCTATGATAGACTTTGTACTCTTTTTCAAGAAACTCATAAACTAGCTCCTTCTTATTTGCGAATGGCTGAATCACTAAGGTTTTGAATTACAGTTATCGAAATTAATTTGAATATAAGATCTAAATTTGAAATTTGAATTACTTTAAATTACTTTAAAAGATATAAATTAATTAAGGACTTATTTTTTGATATTTTTTCTGAATCTTTGTTGCGACAAATTATTTCCATAATTTTCCCATATTACAGGCGAGGTGAAACAATATATACCTTAGATTCTGCTATTCAGCTGCGCAGCAGATTATTTAATTTAGAACAGCAGATTGATTCGGTCAGGTAATAAGATTTTACCTAATATTCTTTTTCATTAGCTTTTGAATTATTTTTAGCCTGAAAATCGAAAATCTCAAATCTATTGAGGGAAGTGAACAACACCAACCTTCGCGAGAAATTATTTTGCAAAAAAATATAAGGATTTTGTCGCTTCGAATTGTGCAAGTAATCATTATTCTTTGTTATTTTAAATTTTTTTAAATTACAAATGAAGGAAATAATAAATTTTCCAAGATATTATTTATTGCAAATACGTCGATAGTCCATTTGATATAATATTTATAATATTCTAATTTAATATTTTCATTTTTTCCATCCTTTAATTAATTTGTTCTTATGTTTTATATTACTTCTGTTACGTAATCATCTTTTATTCGATTTGATATTCTCAAATAAAAAAAATTTTTTTCACTATGTAAAGGAATTAATCTGATTAAAGGAATTTTTAACAGAATAGAACTTTAATTCAAATTTTTAATATTTTTTAAGGAGCTTATTGTGTTTATGGTTAATCTGCCTAATGAAGAGCAGTATAAGGAACTAAAAGAAAAGAGGAGCTCAGAAATGAAGTTACAAATACAGCTGGAGCGTGAGCGAAGTTTGGCTGACTTAAAAGTACGTTTCGCATTATTTACTTGCGATTAATGCGGAATTTTCTTTTTTTCTAATTGTGTATTTTATTTTATTGTACATATTCAGATTTCTTACTCCAATCCATTGCTGGAAAAAATTTTATGCACAACGTCTGAGAAACAAACTCATACGAATGGATTTGTTGGTACTGGTTTCGAACTTCGAAGAGAAGGATGGCTACCATCTTCTACTGTCTTTAACAATCCGTTTATTGACGATGATGAACAAATTAATCCTTTAAATCAACAGATCTTGATAATCAAAAGGTATTTCATTCCTAGCATTTTTTTTTCTCATCGGTAATTTTTAGATGGTCATCCACTTCCTCTCTCTTTTCATATTTTTTTATTTCCTATTTATTACCATTATGTTTTGGTTTGCTAAAACGGCTATTTTTTCTCCTCCAGAGTCTCACTGAAGCGCAAGTAGATTTCCAACATATTTAGGGCTTCATTATCAATAATTAAATTTGTTCTCGTCAAATGCCAGAAATCAAACCTATGATGGCTCAAACTTAGTCAAGGCAACATATCATTTAACCTTCTTGTACTACAAAGCATATATAGCACCTAAGTTCACAAGAGGATTTTGGTATTTATCTAATATTAACCATTTTGATTAATTTTGTTTTAATCGTATTTTTTAAAAATATTTATTTATTTTTTTCTATATTTTTTCTCTTTATTTTTTATTTTTTTCGATATTTTTTCTCTTCTATTCCATTGAGATTCTGTCTCTCAAGCTATTAAAGCATTGCGTTTCAAAGTTTTATAGGCTTTATTAACCGTTTATGTAGTTTTGTTGTTATGTAGTTTATTTTTATGTAGTTTTGTTTTTTGAATCGTTAAGTCATTCTTTCAGTTATTTAAAGCAAGCAGCTGAAGATGGCCGGCTGGAAGAAGTTGAAATTCTGGAAAAGAATCTCGGTGAATTAGAGGAGGAATTAAAACGCTCAAATATCCAAGCCTTCTAGTATATTTTTTTAAATTCCGTATTCATTGTTTACGTTATGATGCTATATGCGGGTTAGCACCGAGTGCCTTGAAAATTTTGATATATCTAAGCCATTCAAGCTTGGGGCGAAGATGCCCAAAAAATTTTTTTATAGAATTATGCAAGATTCTATTGAAAATTTTTTCTATTTACATAGTGAGCATTTTGTTATAGTTCAATGTTGCTTGAATATTTATATCAAAATAATAATTTATGTATGTTTATAATTCTTTTCATGCTACTACTTTATTTCTTTAATCTTATAATGATGATAAAATTAAAGATATTTAGAATAAAGTTATTTTTTGTTATTCAAATATTCAGATATTATTATTCAACTGTGATTTAATGCACGGTAAAAAAATGTCTGACTTTGTACAGCAATGCGAAAAAGGCAAAATTTTGTCTTTTTTTATATATTTTTAATAAAAACCCATTTTACAATTAGCTAGAATTGCCTTCAAACGTTTATAAATTCTTTAATATATTTTATAGGCAAAATTTTATAGGTAATTTTAAATTTTAGAGGCTTTAAAACATTAGTAGGTTCAGTTTCAACGGAAAAGCTCAATAGTTGGCAGATTTTGGACAAAATAGCATTTTCTTCTGGATATATATATATATATATATATATATATACATATATATACAATTTGTTAATGACAGGTATTGACTACTGAAAGTGGCAAAAGCATTTGTACTGAATTAACTTTATAATTTATAATTTTTATATTCCAGTTTTGTAATTTCGTTTCCTCGACGCTATAGAGTTTCACTGTTTTAGTTCCACAAATGAAGTGGTATTACCTCGAATTGCCAACGGTGGGTTAATTTCAATTTCTTAACTTTTTTATCATGCAAATGGTAAAGATTCGCTTTTATCATTTAATATTCCTCTCGTTTCCAATGAGATTTTAAGAGATTTCTTAGAGAATTATAATCGTTACGAAAATTCAATTTTTTTTGTAAATATTTTGAAAAAACATCTTTTAATTGCAGTCGACCTTTATATTTCATCTATTATTAAAAATGATTAAATAAAAATTATATTTTATAGCGCTACCGACTATTGCGCGTCTATTACTGGGTCGCTATATCAATATATCCCTGTTATGTTCTATTTAACCGCGATAAATATATACCAAGCGACGAAGATTTGGAAAGGATTGCAAAAGAACAGCTTGACGTTAGTTTGTCTCATGAAATTTTTCATAAATTTCTCATAATGGGCATTTGCATAAAGGTTATGGAAATCATCAGATGAAGATTTTTCCATTTAGCTAAACATCTAACCTTGCTGCAAAAATTTCTTAAATTTTCAAGGTAATAAATTAAGATCCAATTCTCTGCTTTTTTTTCAGAAACATCCACTAGCGAAAGCAGCTCGAGATAGCCGCTGATATTTTCATTATTCCCAATTATTACAAATATTTCTACATTCTTCTCGTTTTATGTTTTGAAAAATTATTTACCAATTCAACCGATATTTTATAATTATTTATTGGAAATTAATCAACATTACATTATTGTGGAATTACCTTACAAATCTATTCTTCCACTTTTTTTTTCAGCTTATTTTGTTCAAAAATGATTTCTAAATGTGCAGCACGCTGGAAGCCGCAGCAACTTTAAACAATCGTATTAAGGACCATAGATTTGTATAAATAACATAATATACAAAAGTCATAAAAAAACAATTACTTTATCAGGAAAAGAGGAAAATTAGATTTATAAAGGAGCAAATAATATATATATATTTGTTTAAGATCTAAAAAACACCAAATCAAAGAACTTCACAATTCGTAAAATTATATATTCCTCGCGATGAATTTTACTGGGAATTGGTAATACCTACAGTCTGAACAATTTCCCCGTCTTCCGTAATGAAAACAAGTTAATATTAAAAGATATGAAAAAATAAGAAGCTGAGATGGGAGACGAAAAAACAATCGGAATATTTCTTTATTACAGAAAACTTAGCTCGAACTTAAAGATTTTTGCAATCAATGAAAAAGAGTGAAAACTGGCAAATGTGGACGTAAAAATGTAAAGTAATCAATATCTAGATAACAATGCAATGTATGCCATTGACATTTCCTTTAACCTTTCTCATTAATTCATCTTAAAGATGGTTAATAAGTTAAAAACCCTTTCCAGCATCTTTCGTCCTAAAGTTCAAAGAACCAGCTATTCAGCCAATTCTCATAAATTCGGCAAATTCTGATTCCCTACAGCTCCAAAAAACAACAATAGCATATCGTTACGCGGAACGAAAAAAACGATCAATGATAACCATAAATTATAATAAAATTTTATTGATCGATATATTATAAATTTCCACTCGGATCATCATAGCTGGCAGTTCAATATTCCGCAAATCATACTAAGCCTTTTTCGCTGCAGATATTAAAAGACCAAATGGTCTGTTTCGTAAATTCAAACATTTTAGGGTGATATTTCCCTACCAACCTCGAAAATTTTCTCTCGTTTACAAATTATCCTTAAAAATCTTTTTGCATATTACTAATAACAAAAGAATAAAGAAGACAAAAACTAAATGAAAATGAACAAAATGAAAAGCTGAGCCAATCTTTTTTCTATCCGTAACCTGCGTTTACTTTTTGAAAATATTTAGCAAAAAATACCTTGAGATGGTCCAGCTGACAAATTACTCGAAGCTGCATTCTGTAATGGCGTCTTCGGGTGGACGGTATTTAGATGTGTTTCCAAACTGCTATAGCTACTACATTTGAAGGAGCAAACATCACAGCTATACATTATTTCTGCTGAACATAATTTTACGTTGTGATCGGTTACCAAATGTTGCAGCATATTGAAGGCATATTGCTAAAAAAATCTTCGCATAACGCGCAATATCACAGCTATGATTTCTACTGATTTCCATTAAGGTGAAATCCTGTAATAATTGGTGCTAATGCCTGCCTGTATTTATACCTCAAAATGTCAAATGGTTTTATAATAATAGACAATCTAAAAAGTGGCCAGTCAAATTAAAAAATACTGTTGGAAATGATTTAGTAGAAATTTCATACCTTCCCACATAATTTGCATCTTCCACCGTCTTCCTTACGTTGAGCTTTAGTCAAGAGATCTGAAGTCACTAATCCATGAGCCATTACCAAATGCCGTTCTAATCCTTCGTATGTCCAGAACCGGTCGTGACAACGGCTGCAAGCTAATGGAGCACCCTGAAAAAAACAAATGAAAAAATATGCAGTGATAATGAAACAGTATGAAAAATCCGTGTCCACCTGTTGCATGTCCGAAACGTTTTTCCCAATCATTTGTTTATGGAATAGCTGTAAATGACTTAAATAACGATCTCGCTCATGCACATTTTGATCACATATTTCACAAACATTTCCACTACCATGACTTGACGATGCCACTGCATTGATAGCGCGAGAATTTGGAATCTGCTAATAAAATGAACTTAATAAATTTTTGGTTCATGAATAATTTCTCGACTATATATTAAAAAAACTGCAAAATTACCATATTTTATTCAGAGAGCACTTCAAATTTTAATTCGCTTCACTACACTTCAAATTCAATTCAATTTATTCAAAGAATAATTCAAATTTATCATTAATTTCTTCAAACTAATATTTTATTTTGTATTTTCGTATATGGCTTTTCTGGAAGACGTAAAAGGCCTTGCTTACCCCCTGGCTCAATCATTTTCTGAAAGGAGTAAACATTCAAATATACTTTCCAAAAAAAAAAATTTTGAAATTTCTTTCAAAAAAAATTTACCTGAGGATTTTTAGCTCTATTTGCCATGCTAGACGCTGAAGCCGCCAATGTTCTAGCATTATTGGAAGCACGTGCCTGAAAAAGATCATTTCGCAATCCTGCTACAGCTACAGCAGCCGCCGCTCGAATTTGTTGTTGCATTGCTGCAATTATTTACATTTCGAAACCAGTAGCATATTACCACATCAAAGATTAAGCATAAAAAAAATTTTACCTGCCACGAGAGACGGATTACTAATCAATGAATTCACTTTATTAGTTTGTTGAGCGACAACTTGCGCTGCTCGCAACCTCTGCTAAATTTACAGAATTTAATAATAAAAATCGTAATGCTGGTTGAATATTATGTAAAATCAATATAATTATTATTTTAACAGTACATCTGCAAACACGAAAAATGAAACAAATAACGAATACTTGTTGTAGGAGAAGAGCTGCTTGCTGCTGTTGAGCCAAAAATGTTTTTTGAGCAGCGAATTGTTGGTTCCTTTTTTGCAGTTGCTGTTGCGCGAGTTGTGCTCTTTGAAGCTTCTGAAATTAAACGCTGAAACACAAAATTATCTAAAAAGATAATTAATAGGACCGTACTCGAGATTTAGATAGATTACGCCTAGAGAAAGAAAATTTATCAACTTCAGCTTGCTGGCGCTGAGCAACTTGCTGTTGGTGCAATATAGTCGGGTCGAAAGGAGGCTTCGGCCACATCCATTGGTTGATAGCACACACATCTTGAGGTGATTTGGGGGCCATGATAAGCCTGAGATAGAATCACTACATTAACACACAATAAACGGATCAAAATAAGGGTAAAATATAGAGAATCTATTTACCTTACGCGATTTAAATCTCTTCTGCACATTTTTAAATGTTGATCGCGTTGTCCTTTATACATAAAATCTTCATCACAGCATGGACACGGGTTTCTCGGCAAGGCTTCTTCCTTGCCAGGAACAAGATCATGTTGTTGTCTACAAAACTTCAACTTTACACTATCAAATTTAACAATATACTTTTTTGAAACCAATTAATTTTTCTTCAGTTTTTCCTCTTCAAATTCATACATGTAATGTTGAGAAATCATATTTTCATTCGTGAAATATTCTGGACATAATCCACACTGATACTTTCGACCATCGAAATGTGGCGTTTGTTTATGTAATGCAAGAACAATAAGAGACTCTGTCTTGAATGCACACAACTGACACATATGCTGTTTTAGCTTATAAGGCTCATTTTTCTTACGCAAAGCTTCAAGCACTGGTTTCAGTTGTTGTGCGACCTGAAAATCAAAAAATTATTTTCGAAATTAGATGAGAAAAATGCCCGACAAACTAAGAGAATACAGAACCTGCTTATATGTTTCCATATTTTTCGGTGTCTCTGGCAAATTTTTTGCATGTACTATATCTGAATAAGTGGATTCCTGTACGAGATCTTGCCCGATGTCCATCAATAACTTCGTCATTAAAGGCGCCGGATGACTTAATTTCAGTAAATGCCTGTCACGCCTATCCGTTTCCGAAAGTTTTGGGCGTTCCTCTCCGAACATTTTTACAATTACTTTCCCGAGAGGGATTTCTGGATCGTGTTCGATCAACAAATCAACAATCTAAAAATTTATATGAATAAGAGTGTGGAAACTACTGGATGTGGGAAAAAAGTAATATGAGAAAGCAAGAAATTTTCAAAATAACCTGAGATGGTGGGAGACTAATTGTATTCGGAAGAACAAGCTGTTTGTCTAAAATGAGCCTCCTCACAGACAACGGTTCTCTTTGCACTTGTATATTTATTGCACGCAATAGAGCGTCTAACATCTTTCTAAAAAAGTTAAAATATGTAATTTAAAAAAAAAAACAGCAGATTTAAATTTAAATTTTCCACATTTCTTAATGAAGATTTAAAAAATTAATTTAATTTAAAACTTTTTTTTGCTTCAATTTTCAAAAAAACACTAGATCAGCTTTCAGTGAATACAGTTTACAAGAAATGACATCCAGTAATTAAATTCTTTTTCACCTATCAACATTGTCATTCGTTTCTATCGCATTACTGACGAAAACTTCTAATTTATCTAAAAGAGCTTCACTGCTTGTCAGTTCTGGCACTTTTTTTGTTCTCTGAAAGAAAATGTCAAGAAAAACCAGAAAGAATCTTTAAAATGTATCAATTATAATAAAAATTTATTCCATTTTAAACATATTTTAAAAAGAGAATAAACCAACACGACATGTCATTTTAATTTGAACTTCAAGATAAAATTAAAATTTAAGATTTAAAATGACCTCAGCAGCTGGATCATCTGGAACTGGCGATTTTTGAGGTTCTACTTTTTTTTTCTTAGCTGGAGGCTCTTCAATAATATCATCATCGTCATCATCGTCATCAACATCATCATCATCATCATCGAGTTCTAAAAAAGAAATCTATATAACAAAAAAGATAACACCATAAACAAAAATTTTCTAAAAAAAAATTGATAAATTACCTATATATTCAACGGATGATGACTGTTTTGTTTCTGCTGGAATATTTTCTTTCGAAATACACGTCCTGGTACCCACTGATTCATTCCCTTTAGTTGGTTCATTAGGCAAGTCACTTTTTCCGTTTTCCACTTCTTTATTACCATTTATTAAAGATGATTCTCTCTCTATAAAAATGCACAATGAAAAAGAAAAGAATAGAAGGATATAAAAGATAGGAAATTACTATCCTATTGACTTTTTAACGAAAAAAAAAACCTTGTTCTTCTGAAAGGAAAGAATTTGATTGCTTTTCAACATCAGTTTCGATATCATTCGACATTCCTTCAATACTTATAGCAGCATCACAAATGCCATTTTGCTTTAGATCTTTTGATGACATATCATCATTTGCTTTATTACTATTATCAGCAATAAACGAATTCTGAATTTCTATTCAATTTTTAATTTTGATAAATTAATTTTAACAATTTCTTAAAATACAAAATTAATTAAGATGATCTGCAGACCAAAAAACACAGTCGCGGAATCGCAATTCAATTAATTAATCTAGCTATTTGCCACAAAATGCGTTACAGTCTATCCATGTATTATAATAATAATAAAAATTTAGTATAACCTGACAATTAGTGAAACCGTTATGAGCGGACGAATCGTTGGATGATGCTGAAGATGACTGACTTGCACAGATTGTATTCACCATTTCAATATTCATTAAGTCACTTGTTTCAACCATTTTTTTATTATTCCACAATTCATATATTTAATTTCTTTAAAATGAATTTATATATATATATATATATAAATTGCGATACAGTGCTCACAACTGCTCGAAACTGCTGCAATTATTAATTGATTAACGCACGTCAAGATAAAGAATGTGAAGAAGTTGCATTTATTGATTGAACAGTTGCAACCTTAGTGGGTGGGATAATGATCGATTCTTTCGCAACCGCACAACTATTGATTTTATTTAGTGCAAACTGATTTATCGAAAATAAAGAACATATATTATATATACATATATATACAAGTATATATGTAAATATATAATACATATATAATATACATATATATACAAGTCACGGGTTCAGAGGTCATACAAAATATTATTATGCTTCAGTGAAAATTTTCTTCACGATTACGATTTGAAGTTTAAAAAAATCGATGAAAGATATGATGAGGGGCAGCAATATTAAAATTCAAGGCTTTACACGCAAGAAAGCGGTTTTCTACAAAATCAAAAGAAAAACAATTGTAAACGGTGAGGCCAAAGGGTCAACCTCAAACCAAACGCTCTTGCTTACCTCATAGTTTAGGAATATATCAGAAATTCAGAATCAGATTTGAAAAATGCCAAGGTCTGACTTCCTCAGTTCAGTTAAACATATAACAACATTACACTTCTATCTTAACTGACGTTTTTATTAAGCATTTTAAGGCCAAAAAAAGTCCCGCAAGCTAATACTATCATTAAATTTGCCTTCCTTCCACCCAAAAAAAGTCTGCTTATCGAGCGTTAAAAAAATTTATTAAAAAATATCGGATAAGATCAACAATGATATTAAATAATATTGATAAAAAATAATAAATTTATATAATGAATATTAAGGCCTTATGTTAAAAAGCTGGTGAGGGGCAGCAATGGATCCAGGTCAAGCAACTTTTATCAACAACGGATAGACCGAATCTAAATTATGGACAGGCAATCAGTTCAAGCAGAGCGCACAGTTCGCATTTCTATTCTTATAAATTCACTGCACTTGTCCTACACGAAATTTTTACTCGTCGCACGCGACATCGCCGCGAATATCGATTGATTTTTGACAACATTTCCATGGTAAATAACAAGAAAAAAAATGAGGGGGAAATACGACAAATCCCCAAAAAATATATTCTCTTCCAACAGTATTTCCAAATTTATTTATTTTCTTTTTAAAACCACATAAACTCTCCAGATTTGCTCCCCTTCCCTTCACCCCCTCTCCTCATTCTTTCCAGGCTATTCGATTTTCACTCTATTTTTTTTTCGTTTTTAAAAGCTAAACAGACTATGAGATAGTCTCTGTAAGAGTTTACTATCGCTTATTAAAATGAAGGATAACTATGACTACTGGCTATGCACCTTTACTTCTATGCGCAAGTGGACCATCTGGTGAAAGAATCTCATCCTGTTAGATACCAGTCAAATTAGAAATGGTGTACAATATTAGAAGATGAAGAAGCTAATAAGGCTAATAAGGTGTAAGATTGTTGGAAAGCACCGCGGCTAAGCAATCTACTTAATAATTTATTTCTGCGGGATTTTTTAAAAAGTAAAACTAATAAACTAAGCCAGGAAGAATTATTTCTTGAATCCTTCCTTCTTCTCTTTCCTCTCTCCGTCTTCAATTTGAGAAAATAATAACGGTAAAAGGAGGTAAAATAAACTCGAAACGTTCTGGAAGCGTTCCACGTGAAAAAGAATCGATCGATTTTTCTCCGATACATTTCGATTTAATTTTAAATTAATTAGTGACAATTAGCAATAACAACGAGTAATGGAACTTCATAACGGTCCTCGTTGACCCCAACCTGACCTCTTCAAGTACCTCCATGCAAGCTCATCCCCTCATCTCTCGCTCAAATAATAGCCTCTTTCTTTCTCTCTCTTCGTCTCCCCCTTTTTTCTTTTCACCTCCCCCATTCTCTTACCATTTCTTCACATACTCTTTTTTTCTCTCATTCTCCCCTCGCATACAATCATCTTTCACTGCACTTTCCGATAACAATGACGGTGGATGCATTTTGCATGACGATAGATGATTAGGTGCGGTGAGACCCAGACAGTTAGACGATTTCGGGCTTTTTGTTCAAAAATAAAAATATTTTATTTTTTATTTTTAAAATTTTCGAGGGGATTGCAAATCCCACTTGCGCAAATAGTGCTGCTGCACGCAGCGATTTCTGTTACTCCATATAATTTGTTGTGCATAAATTTGTATGCAAATATGTGTGAATTTTATGCACCATTAGCAGCTAATGCGTGCACTAATGCATAATGTATTAATGCATAATGCACCATTGTGCATTACTGCCTGCTGTGTTTTCCCTTATTGCAATGAATCAAAATGCAAGTTGGAAAAGTAAATAATTCTTTGCATATTTAGCAATTTGCTCTGAAATATCATAATAACAATATAAATACAATAACAATAATTAAAATAATAATAAATATAAATAGAAATCGTTTCTTTGCAAAATTGTGCCCTCTGCGTGCTGTTCCTTTTCTTATAAGCGATATTTCTAATGTCGGAGATCTACTGGAGTGAATCGATGGGACAAATTTAGCCAATACATCTGATAACTTTATCACCATGCGTAGAAAGTATATTTTTTATATTCTTTTATTATACCTTAATGTAATGCTAAACTGTGATGGGTGGTGCCAAAAGCAGGGAGGGCCAATGGACTGAATGGACTGAATGAATGTACGGTCACGAAAAATTTTGAACTTAATAAAAAATTCAATTAAAAATTTATTAAAAAATTAAAAATTTTGAAATTTTTTATCAATCAATGCGAAGGAAATCAGGTTCCAGAAAAATTCATGAACGTTCTCTTCGTCTGGATGCTGGTAGATGCTGGACATTGGAGTGGTACTAGCGACCTCCATGCAATTCCATTGTCAAATAGATTCCCTGGCAAAAACGAGAATGGTGAGAGCCAACCATATTTTTTACTTACAAATGCTGATAATGCTGATAAAATGCCTATTTTTATAAATTTACAGGTTGAAAACTTTGGGTTCACTCTTCTAGCAAGTGGCTAAATGAAAGGCGAAATAATTACATCTAGGAATGCGACCTTCCATCAGTTGAAACTTCTGTGGAACTATTTCGAAATCACCATCAAAACGAATCTTCACAACTATATGACTGTAAACTGTCTTGAACTATCTTATCATATGGCTGTAAAATGTGGTCGGTGAGAATGGAATGGATCAGAATGCGTATTCGTCATCCTTCACGTCATACATTTTAGATATCCCCCGAGCAGAAAATTTCCATGGGTGCATCACCTTATTTCACCATTTCTATATCGTCCCAAAGCGTTAGCTAATGATTGATGGCGTCAAAAGCACGGGGAACCAATCGGTACCTCAACTGATACAATCAGGAAACATTCTATGATGTATGCATATAAGATACTTAGATGATGGGAAGAGAAATGCCTCAAATTACTTTCAGGCGTGGTATCGCATCGGAAAACACTATTTTTCCTTAGTCGCTTGTATGGCTAATATCATCAATAGTGCAACTTCAAAGCAATAAATATCCTGCTTCAAATAATCGTATCTAACTGAAAGCGAAAATGCGAATACGGTACAGAATTGGCAAGATTCCAAAAATGCTCGCTATATTTGATGTTCTGATAGTTGGTGAGATGGGGAATGGTGTACTTGGGTGAGCTGCAGTGGGATTTCGACTATGTTGTATTGAGGACATAAATTTTTGATGTTTCTTCACTTTTAGAAGTTCGGTATTTTTTGCGTTTGTTTTGAACAAAAAATAGCCATAATTCACTAAATGAATTTTATTTAATTTAAAGCTTAAAATTTAATTTTGAACAGTTTAACACGGGTTTTCATCGAAGATCAATTTCGTCTTCCTCCAAAGAAAACTATAAATTTTCTCTTTTTGACTGCATTTTTTATATTGAATTTAATGTTTCAGATTAATGTTGTCTTTTGTTTGAAATTATGAAACCACGAAAGAGGAAGATTTCGTGGCTTTCGTCAGATTTGGCAAATAATTCAACTTTGACGTCGCAGACGCGTAAAATATCGTCATCTTCAGCGAGTGCATTATTTGCTAAAAATATTTCACCTCCTCCAAAATCTCCAAGGACTTTAACAGGTTTTTATGTTCGCTTAAGTTCTTATTCTTCTTACAGTTTGCATATTTCTAGCTTGTCTGGCATCACTAGTGGTTAGTGATTAGAGAAAAGCGTTTCCAAGTCTTCTGACCCAATGCCAAGCTTTAAAACAGCAGCAGACCACTTTTTTTTCCACCGTTTAAGTTTTACCAGTTTTCTTAGAAATTGCGGAATTGTCTTGCATGGTTTGTTATTCGCTAAAATTCCTTAATCGAGGATAATTTTACTAATTGTTCTAGGTGAACTTTCACCTTTACATACACGGAGGAGATATCTTCATGAAAGTGCGATTGTTTCACCAGATTTTGCTGTTTTTGATTATCATCAACAGTGCCCGCAGTTATTCGCTTTATTGCATAATGATCTGTGCTTTTCTGTTGGCTTCAACGAATTGGTAATCGTTAATCTTTTTTGTAATGTAAAATACTGTTTTTATTTTTTAATATTTATTTCACCTATTAAGCAGATAAATACTGGTGCTTAATTAGAATAAAAGTGATAAAAATTAATGAAAATATGCCATATAATAATTAGAATTTCGGATTTCATAGATAACTTTTAAATTAAACGACAACAAGTTTATTGCAAAAATAAATAATAGAAAAATAGAAACCGAGTGGTAGAAAAATAGAAAAATAGTGAAAAGATGCAATTCATAGGTCATTGCATTTTTCTTTTTCTCTTAGCGGCTGCTGAAATAGTCGATTGTTTGCTTCTTGCTTAGTTTGATATCGATATTATAGTTCGGTTTGTATAGGACTAAACGATGATGCCTACTTTTTTTATTCCCATTTGATTATTGTTCGAATAACAATCAGTGCAGCTAACCTAATTAGAAATGTTGTCTGCTAGCCATGTTTTTCTTATCATTTATGGTTTGGTTAACCGCTCCTTTAATTGATAGACTAAGAAATTTAAGCCGTCCTTTTTTGCCTAAGAGCCACTTGGATGGAGCCTCAGCAATTATCAGTATTGGATTTCGGTGTTAAGCATCAGGAAACTGGTATCCAGGAATTGAAGAAATAGGATGTTGCGTCAGATTTCTTCATTTAGCTTTTGATGTTAGATCTCACAAAAAAATTTCAGAAGAATTATTTTTATTTTCAAAAATTTTTTTTTTTTCTAAGATCGCCCTCCATTTTTGGTCAGGCTTGCTGCATTGGCTTATCAGACTTGATAAATTTTGCACAACCATTTGGCTTTAGAAATGCAGGACTCTCTAGCATCCTGTCCCTTGACTTTTGAGAGATATTTAGATATTTATATCTGAAGTAGGAGGTAACCCAGCATCAGCGTTTCGAAAAGAGTCCAATTTCCATGTTTTTTTTGTTTTATCAGTTTTAATTATTATTTTACGATTTAGGACAAATTGCAATGCGAATTAGAACAGTTATTGGTTCATACCACAGATCATCAAAAAAAAATCTGTGGTGAATTGACGTATCAGTTGACGGGTGAATATCCTTGTGATGATATATCTAGTCGACCGATGCCTTCCTATCAATTGAAGCCTGCTATGGAACCTGTGCCGGGATGTAGCAAAAATAATGAAGATCCGTAAGTTTTCATTTTCTTTACTTGATAAGTTTTAGTTCACTGATTCAGATTTTCAATCGTTATTTTTCTATTTCAGAATAATAGAAGATCCAACAGAAGTGGACTATAGTGATGAAGGTTTTGACATATGGCCACCCGTTAATCTTCCCCAAAAATTTTGGACTTTTATTCGAGATTTTTCGGACCCGATTGATGATGAGTACATTAGACACTGGTACCATGATATATATCAGGCTTTTTCTGTTGAAGCTTTTCGAAAACTATATTCTTCAGGTCGATACCAATTTTTTTTCGCATAATTCTTCACCATCAATGTTCTTTGTATTTAAGTATAAGTATATTATAAGTATATTTATAAGTATATAAGCGTATATTTATAAGTATATTTTTAAAATATATTTTAGTTAAATCCTCACATTTTTTTATTATCTACGAAATATTACTGTGATATTTTGCTAATTTAGGAAAAAAATTCAACTTGGAGAATGGAAACCGAGATGAAAAGAATTATTCTAAGGTGCTGTCGTTGAACCGTGAAAAAAGGTTTATTTTCTGAAATTATTTCATGAATACAAAAAATTGCTTTGTAATTAATTTTTTTTGCCAAATTCGTTTATTATTAACCGCATATTTCACAAAATATGCATCAGTTTTTTTTGTTCTCAATGGAGTTTTAATCTATTCAGTTCTCTATCTTCAAATGGTCCTCCAAAAATTTCGCCTTTGATAGAGGAGGCTACCAATGCCTGTTTTGTCGAAGAGCAGATTAATTTTCCGAAGCAAGTCAACGGTCTATCTCCAGAGTGCAAAAAAGCTATTCGCAGTCAGTTTTTTTCATCTTTTAAACAGATGTTTGCATATTTCAATTATAAAAACTTTTTAAATACCTCTATTATTTGTTTTTTCAATTGAATTGAAAATTTCGGGCAGTTGTAATTGCAGTTTTTGCTTAATTAATATCAGGATGCATGTCTTTAATATACAATGCAGATGAATACAACATTAGAGAATAGAAAAGAAATCTTTTAGTTGATTGGTTCGAACCAATTTAACATATGGGTATAAAAATTTTCTTAGATTTTTTTTATTCGTCAAGAAATTTTCTAAGGAAAAGACAATATCTTGAATGGTGGCAAAAATGAGAAAAAAAAAGAAAAGAGAAAGCTCAAAATGGAGGAATCACATGATAATAACCAACAAAATGGTGCCTCTCTAAATGAACAGGTCGTGGAACGAGATTTGTTGCAAAACAATATTATCGACCAGTTCGGACGTTCTTTAGGTGATTATCTAGCAAAAGTTGGTCAGTTATCGTTATCATTAATTATATATAAGTATATTTATATTAATTATATATGTGTGTATTTTATATATATTATATACAACGGATTTAAACAGATTATTACTTAACAGATTGTGAGAAAATTCTACTATCGTAGAACAATTCTAGAACAAGAAATTAAATCACTGAAATGAAAAGATTCTTTATTTGTTCATATTAAACTGTTCATCTAAGTACTGTTACTTAAATTTCAGTTTCTAAGTTTGTTTCAGAATTATTTTCGAAAAAAGAAACTACGAGCGTAGATTTCAGTGATGAAAGGAGCTGCACAGTTGAAGATTGTGTTAAGGAAGAAATGCGTGAAACTGACGAAGAAAATACGGCAAGTGAAGCAGATTTTTTAAGATAGCATTGTAAACAATAGGTTGGTCATTCTCATATTAATTATTCTAGGATGAAGTAACTAGTGCGCTGCATAAAGCGCAAAAAGCTTTAATGATGAAAGAAAAAACATGGCGACCAGTGGTTATAAAATTATGGCATAGACTACTTGCTGAATATCTGCGGAATAAAATGGAAAATGAACTTGATAAGGCTGATAAAGAGGTAAAATTTTGCACGAATACAACAAGAATTAGAAGAAACGATGAATCTTTAAAATTAATTTTATTGATTCTTAAATAATTTCTGATTTGCAGCATTATTGTGAAGAATAAAAATTTATTTTCTTTAATATTTATATGATAAAGTTTGGTGATTTATATGGTAAATAATTTTGCTTTGGATTATGAATGTTCGCTTATTTTAATATAATGGTTATTTCAGTTATTCGAAGTGTATGAGAAGTATTATAACGATTATCCTCGACATCGTCCAAATAACGATCTCGAGAAGGATGAATGTTATGCAGCACTGCATCGACGCAATTCGATTGCAAAAGCGTATTACAATAGGAAATATATAGATATTACTAGGTGGATATTAAGTAGGCGATGACTAATTTCTACTATAAATGCAAAAGTTTCTTTGTTCATTTGGAGGGATTGCTCATTTCGTTTCATACCGCCCGGCATTCATTCTTTTTGGCTTTTTCAGATTTACTATTTGTTTTTTTTTTTCTAACGCTTGCTAAAAATTTGTACCATAATATTATATTTGTACCATAGCTATAATATTATAATATAATATTGATCTGATATCGATATATGGGTATATATTTTTAGAGTTTCACATTTTAAATGTTTTTATTTGTAAATTATCTTTTTACTGTAAATTATAGCTATGATGTTGTTATTATCTTAGCACCATATTACGACCTTTCTGCAAAAGCATTAAATATTAAGAAAGAAAATTTTTTGATGTGATTGGAGTGAGGACTGAAATTCTCGAATTGTCTCTATAATTAATCGTTAATTTATGCTAAAAAAGTTTTCCATATTATGTTTTTTTTTCAAATTTTCGATTGTTTTTAGTAAATTTTCGTATGTTGTTGCCAGGTGAATTTTAAATAGGCTATGAGCAGATTAAGAGGCCGTTTTCTAATTGCTTATTAATATTTATCTATTTTAAAATAAATAACTATAACTGTTATTTAGGGATTATTTCATTCAATCTTTTCAATTTGCAGTCGTTTTTCTTTATTTTATCCATCTTGTTTTATTCTTGTTCGGTTCAGTTTTTTGCTACCCGAAATAATTATATGGGTATGGTTACTGATTAATGAATGTGTATAGTGTTCTTCTTTTTATGTTATGATTTTCGTTTGCTAATTTATAATGATAATTTTTTATAATGGTAATTCTTGTTAACAAAACTGCGCAAATCTATGAAGAAAAAATAATACTCATTTCACTAAATTTTTATTGTTTTATGGAACTATTCTGAAATTTACTGCTGAAAATTGTCGAGGAGTATACGCCAAATTGAAATTTTTGAAAACATTAAATTTAATGCGAAGTATTTTCACCTTGTTGATTTTATTCTATGAGATCATAGCCTGCTAGTGTTTTTCGCTCCTTAAATATTTATATGTGACTTGGTTGACAGTTTTATCTCGTTGCCTAAATATTTCGTTTATTAACATTTTTTTTATAATTTTCTTTAAGCGAGTTTAAATAATTTATTAGACACTTCTGTAATTCGGAAGTTCATGAAAAAGTCGTAAAGGAGGATTTTTTAAAATCTTTAAAAAGATGTAATTTCCTTTTTTTGAATAGTGGTAAGAAGTTTTTTATTTCTCCTTATTTTTTATTTCAGTACTTAATATTTATTTTAAAAAATAGTTATGTTGTAATATATAAAAATGTATTTGCTACAATAGAAGAAATGAACGAATATCGCTGTATCTGAATTTTTAACGATCATCAATTTTTATTTTTTCAAAGATATGAATTTTCTGCAAACACTTCTGGTAATTACCACTTCTGGTCTGGTTGCATTCTCCACTTCTCGCCACGGATTCTGAGGTGAGGCGGTTCTTCAGGGGGAGTGAAATTGCAAATCCACAGTGCTAGGTAGAAGGGGAAATGGAAAAATCCAGGTGGAATAGAAGATGAATGATCTATGAACAATGATGTTAGCAAGGCAAGTAAATGTAGAACAATGGAAGACATTATTGTTAATTGTTAATTAAGCTAAAATTGCTGAATAACTATAAAAATTATTTAGCATTTCCATCCAAAGACTTTGATTCTACAGCTCGAAAAAGTTCTCTCACCCATAGTATTAATTTTCCATAGACTTCAATTTCCATCCATTAGATCCAGTTACAAGACAATATGCAAAAGAAGTTTACTGATAATATTGGAAAAGAGGAATTAACATGTTCGCTTTTGTTACAGCTATTTAGATTATCATTCGATGGACTGAAATAAATTCCACCGTGTGAATAATAAACTTGGAATCCGTGGAGACAAATACTGGGGTTTAATATAATTTTGGTAACATAATTGTGGTATCGATTGCTAATCGGTATTGACTTTGATGTTATCTTGGGTCATTTCCACTATAAAACGGAATGAAAAACAGAACGAGGTGATTTCTTCTCTCTGTACTCATGGTAGTTGCATTTAACTAGCTAAGAAATTTATAAACATATATAAGCCTTTCGTTAATGCAAAGAAGCATTTTCGCGAGTAGGTCGATTTCGTACTTCTTCGACTATTTCCATTAACTTAATTTTACTTTGCATAATTATCCAGTCGTCGGGATATTCCGAACGTCAGTATAACACTCGCGTCGTCGAACATAACAATCGGTAAGTCGGATTCGTGGACTTGTTTTCTCTTTAATTTCCTTTGTTTTTTATTCTTCCGAGAAGTGAGTATCTACAGTTCCAAATATTTTGTTGAAACGTGACACCAATATCTTCTGATCCTTTTCTAGAGATCTGTGCAGCAATAGTCGACGTTTCTTGCTAATCACTAGTGATACGAAAAAAATATTCAATAAAAATTAAATCCAGGAACACTAAAAGACAATTATTTCAAAACAAATAAGAAGTGATTGAGTAATTTAAAGGATATAAAATAACAAAGTATATGATAATGAAATATTGGGACCTAACTCGGGTCCTTTGATGGCACCAAAATAAAGGAAGGCGAACAATTTTCTTGAGAAGAACCATAAATTGACTTTTGTCTTTTATTGACAATGAAACGGAATAAACAAAGAATCGATTAAGTTAATTAAAGTTTTCTTTTGGCGGATCGAGGTCACCAATTTGAAATAATAATTTTACTTTAATTTTAATTTTAATTAAATTTTAATTTTTAGAAAAATTTATCGTATTTTGCGACAAGTAGTATCAACAGAAAATGATGGAAATGTCTAGGTTGTGGATTAATTTATCCCCAGTGGATACTTTTATTCAGATAAAGTTATTAGAAATCGAGCATAAATAAATCAAACATTACTCAGTTCATTAACTCATTAAGGATTACAATCGACATTCGCATGATAAAATGGTTGAAGGAAAAAGCGGCAAGACCGCTTACGCAATCAATCTCTAAAATCATGGATAACTCTCTAAGTCACCAAAGAACTCAACTGCTTTATAATCAAAAACTTGGAAAGCAGCAAGTTATACCAATAACGCCATGTTGATGAAACATATTATATCAGAAATTGTGGCTATAAAAATGAAAGATGTTTAATATGTAAGCAAAGAGGTTGTAATAACGATTTAGTTTAAATATGCAGAAAACCAAAAAGAGGTTCCCTAAATAAAAGGAAAACGAAGTAAAGCTTGAAAAATCTAATAAGATTACACGCTAACAATCAGCAAGTTGTGAAATCAATAGGCACCCAATAAGTTTTAAATCGAATCCAGGATACAGGATTTGAAGATTTGAAATCAGGCAGTCCTGGAAAGGTGTCGGAATTGCCATTTGAAATACTGAAAAAATACTGAAAATACTGAATACTGAAAAATACTGAAAAAAATTGGTTTTCCTTTTTGAGAACTATGCAAAGCAGCAAGAACTAATTTCGCGTCAAATGAGGCCCGTCGAATCAGTTAAGGTCAACCTCGACTATGGTGGACAACATCACATCCTCCACTATTCCTTCGAAGATTTCGGCGGAACAAGGAAAAATTTATGGAAACTATCGAAAAATATTTTGAAAAAAAGGAGAAAGAGCTATATTTAACTGGTGTAAATATGCCAGAAAAGCTTCCGAAGAAGCTTTAAAAAAACTGTTGCAGCCAATAGGCTAGGGGCAGAGAAAATTGCTGCAGTGCTGGAATCAATATTAATAGTATCATAGAATTTCGCCAGTATGGAAAGAAAAGATCAACAGCGAAAACTCAAAATTTGCCTAGAAGATAAATATCTAGCCATACCTGTTTTGCGCAACAGGAATAACTGAACAGGAACAACTAGGAATGAAACTTTTCTGCGGAAAGATGTGACTAAAAAAGAATTAATGTAGTATTAATTCTAGGCAAGCAATTGTGAAAAGAATATTGCACTCATAAACAGAACCTTAATTTAATCTTAAAAAAATAAGTGGGCAGAAACCTTCAATGGTGGAATATAAGTCAGCCTCACCAGCGGTTCAGAACGACTAAATTTATGATTTTACCTCTCTTTTCTGATCAGATTGCAACAGCTTAGGATTTTCGACCAAGTAGGGGCGAACAGCATAAAAAATTATTTATTTTTATACATATTTAATACTATAAGCTTAAAATATAAATTGTAGCTCTTATTAACAGTCCAAATAGTATTTGTAGCTGAATGATTCTATTGATAATGATGTAACAAACTTAGAATGTTTTGAAATAACACGCAAGGATAGAGTAGCAGATAGTGAAGATAGGATTATCACGCTTATTCCCAATTATTACAAATATTTAATCATTGGTGATTAATGACATTTATTCCTCTTTTGAATCTCTGATAAAACTTATCTTGATAACAAAAATATTTTTTTTTCTTAAATCTATATCAATCTATCAGGTTACCAAGAAATAAATTCACCATAGATCTTTATGACTTATTAATGCAAAATTATTTGGTTATAAGTATATAACTGTCGATTTTAACATGCTAAATATAGGCTGGAAAAATAATTGTATGAAAAACAGCAACTTGAAACATTCTAAACTTTTGCACCTATTCAGAATATGTCAAAATCACTATATTACCAAGCGCAACACCATATTAAACATTATGCTGGCTCTCTTTTACGTCGATAGCATTAATGCCCTAGAACCTTTTTGTAACAGCAATCATAAATATCGTTCTTGTATCAATGAAACTAAATTAAATAAATTATCGTTTTAGATTTCTAAAAATACCGCAATTCTGGTTGCAAAATTCTATCTTTTTCCTTTTTTGATTCTTTCCTTGCAGAAATATCTTGGGATTTCATATTTTGTCTAATTGGCTCTATTGACTAAAAAGTTTTTTTAAAACACCATACAATATCTTATGGGGCAACATGTTCCTTTAAGCAAAAAAAGGCGTTGCAAGAAAAAAGGGGAGAAGCTAATAGAATTGAAGAAAAATGTGAACATTGAGAATAGGATCATGCTACTGGAAAAATAAAAGGAATGCACTCCATCAGAAGTCCTCGAGAATGTTAAATAAAGGCTCATCCTTAGGTTAAATGTGTACACTAGAGAAAGTGAAAAAGTTAAGTGCTCTTCTCTCCAAAGAACAATTCAAAATATACTCTCAATTGTAGTGCAACAAAGCCATCAAGAGTAGAATTATGCAATGCTGGAAAAATATATGGGAGAAAAAGAATTCATAATACCAATTTCCAGACCAACGAAGTGGCTTCAAGAGCAACCCACAATAATCTACCAGAGCGAGAACCAGCTATCACAGTTGATCACTCAAAAATATTTTGCATAGAAAAATTGCATAGCACTTGACCCGGTCATGATTTTCATCTACTGGCTAAAAAAGCTAACAGCGTTTCATGAACGCCTAGCAGTACATGAACCAGCTTCTTGCAGCAAACAAACTGGTTAACGCAGTGAAGGACGACACTTATTATTTATTTATTTATTTATTGAAAACCAGCCAAGCAGGGCGAAACGCCAAGTGCTTCTATTAATAACAATAGTTAAAATAACAAATAATAAGAATTATTGAGAAAAACAAAAAAATAATAATAAAATAAAATATAATTAACAATTTAAAGATGAAAGAGGAAATTGCAAAATAATATAATATAGTACAATTCGAAATAACTATAATCGGATGGTAAAAATCGAGACACTTTCACACTTCCTGCATGATCTGAACTTTTTAAATAATATCATTAATGATATTATCTAATCTTTTTTTAAAGATAGCTAGGGATGGCGCACAAACTATATCGTTCGGTAGTTTATTCCAGTAATTAATATTACGAATAAAGAAATCATGAGTCCTAAGTTTAGTTTTACACATAGGTTTTAGTAATTTTAGCCCATTAGTTCTTGTTGGATTTAAATTTAACCTAAAATTATAATATTTTGAACAATCTAATTTATCATATAAAAAATCTTATAAGTATAAATTAAACCTTTTTTAATACGACGAACGGACAGAGAATGACCTTCTGTTATTGAGAATTTGTTATTGTGACAATGTGAAAGACTCTCGTAAAGTAATACAATACTGTCCAATCACCGACCAATAATCTATCGCAACGTGAAAGTATACTAGGCACCATAGCCATCAAGCTTCAAAACTTTAAGCTAGTATATGGGTAGAATGGCTCAGTGGGTTGTTGCTCAATCTGGAGCGCCGGTGCTGAGGTCCTGTTCCCCGCAGGAGTAAGCCTATAAAAATCCAAGTGATGCTAGTGACTCGCTTGTATTTCTATCGCCAAGGAGCCCTCTGGCATATTCGTTTAGTACGACAAGCCAGCGGGACGAGTTTAAACAGTTATGGTGAGGGCTTTAAAAAAAATAAGTACAATTCAAAAGGGCATTGAGAACAACATCCTCTGTTATTGTGCCAATGTGAAGGCCTGGAAATTCCTCATAATGCACGAAATGTACACTAGTAGGAAGAAAAACGGTTGGGACTTGGTAAAATCACCGTAAAATCTTGAATCTTGAATTCAAAGCACTCAGAAATCCATGAGGAAGAATCCATGCACCAAAGGATGAATCCATCTAAAAAAGATAGCTGAGAAAGATAGAATGCCTGAAGCAATATAAAATTGCTCATGCGACTTGCGACTTGTATAAAATAATTGGTGTACCAACTTCAACTACTTTTAAAAAAGGTTAAATAATATCACCCATGATATTATTTAAAAGCTTTACATAATGCAGGAAATTTGAAATCTTAGTCTTTTATCATCCGATTAGCTATCAGTAATATTTCTGTTTGATTTGGTTTATTTTGTAATTCCTCTTTATCGCATTGCTTGGTTGCTTAAATGAATAAATAAATAAAATAAATTATTAGTGTAAACTTTAGTACAATTTGCTTTATAGCTGATATATTTCTCAATCGCAATTCCTAGACGCTCATGCGAAGTCATGCTGGAATCACTAAATTGTTATTTTGCCATTGCAGAGGAAGACCTACAGTATGAATAAAACTCATAATTTTTTGAATTCTTGTTTTCTTGAAATAATTTTTCTACAATCGTTTTATCAGTTGTTTTCTAGTCGAAACATTCCGCAAGTATTCAAGTTTAGGAATTTTTATTAATTTTTTTTTTATTTATTTCTTCTATTTTTATTAATTTTTACTAAACATAGACATGACAACATTCATTCCCTTTCGTTCTCTTGTTGAATTTGAAGTAGTAGTTCCGTTTCTTTCCTTTCTTATTCTTCTTTAACACAGTACACTAATCAGTTAATGACAAGTTTTTTCTCATCAGGTGGGAGGCACGGAACCAATGCTGCTTCATCTAAATCTAAATAAAATATCGATCATTCCCAGTTTTACATTCGTAATTAATGTCAGCATTTTAGATGGATTTATGAAAATGTATATAAGTAGATTTTTATCAATCATGTTTTGCCGAATTTATTCTCCATAAACAATTGAAAATTTCTCTATTTTAAACATAATTCATTAAGTCAAAATCAAATTTAATTAGCATAAACCTAGAAGTTTGTCTCATTTTTGCTTACACACAGAAAATTTTCCTTCTCGTATTTTTGCAATATACACAGAGGGGTTCGTCAATAAATGCTTAAGAATATGGACTAAATCAAAAAAAATGAGATATAAAAATTGATCACAAATTAAAATCAATAATATTAAAATTTTTCTCGACTTCCTTTTATTGCTAGGGCATTTTCACTCGGACCAAGTATAGATCGACTTCGGATTAAATTAAGTTTACATTAATCTCTAATTGAAAATATGTTTAAGTATCGAATGTAGCAACAAAGCACGGTAGAAAAACTGTCACCAATAGAATCATGGATTATGCATTAAAAATATCAAGTGAAGGAGCCCATTAGCTTCATCAGATTACCAAAAGCCCAAATAAAAAAAATTAAGAACTCGTTTAAATGTTTAAATGTTTTGAATGTTTTGATTTGACTGAAAATCATAAAAATAAGAATAATAATAATAAAGATGACTGTACAGAAAAAAGGGTTTTATAGCAGTACGAAATTTTCGTTGGAAGCACGGCGATTCCCCGTCCAATATTCTATCTTTACAAAATTTCCTTTTGGGAATTCGCTCCACTATCTTTTTTCTGTATAGATTTAACTTTTCTGCCATGCGGGACTTTTATTTCTTATTAATATTGTAAAACTGCAGCCAGCGTTCTACTTCTTATTTTTCTCGTTGCGAACCTCAAACTTGGGTAATTAAACCTTTATTAGTAAAGATGCGAATATATACAAGAAAATAAAGCGAAGTAATTGCTCTATTACAAAGAAATAATACAGTAAAAAAATCAAATATAAAATCTAAATGCCCATCACTCACTGACCGCTCCCCCACTCATTTTCCCCTAATAAAAACACAAAAATGACCAGAATTGATCTTTTGGGAACCAGAATTGATCTTATATTTAAGATGGGCGGGAATCCGGATGATTTGCTCAAATTTACAGCTTTTTTCGCCTTTCGGCGACGATGACTGTGGAACTGATGAAAAATGAGAATTATTATAACCTATTATTACGAAATCATGATATATCAATGGAACATTCCTTGATTATTGTTGGTAGTGGTTTATCATACGGTTTCTCTAAAGTGATTATCGTCGATTTGCCATTCATGTAATTTTGATATGCACCATTATTTGAATGCATGAAATTATTTCGTTTGAATTCCTGCAAATAATTTTAAAAATCATTAGTATCAATAAATTAATTTCCAATAATTGATGAAATAATGGTTTGATTTCATTTATATTCATTTATTCATTTATATATTCACTTATATTTATATTTATTTATATTTATATTTATTTATTTATATCTATAATTTCGAAAAAAGCAAATTACTGAGGCCTTCTTCCTCTAATAACTCTCACCATTATTAATTAGGCTAGCTACACTGGCTAAGGGTAAGGAATTTCCAAGCTGCAAGGTTTGATGCCATCGCCGATAGTAAAAAGAAGCCATTCATTTTTCCACAGTTTAAGTCCATAATATTGCTGGTCCATCTATACGTTCAAAATCATTTCTGATTGGATCAATCCAGGTCTTGACTGGCCCTTCTCGCTTTTGACGCTAACCATCACAGAGTTTAGCACGTAATGAAATATACGTCAACTCTTGTGGTGGGCGATGGAAAACATATTAGCGAAGGCGACGTTGGCGACGTTGTGATGGTACTTTTTGTAATGTTACTGAGGTAAGTGAAATTTACACGTATTTATTTATTGAAAATTTAAATTTCTTAAAGCGATAAGATCTCCTGTTCTCAACTTTTCGCACTTCTTGTAATTGATAAGCATCTAGAATAATATCTTTTATTTTAAACTTAAATCAAATGTAAAGGATGATTAAGCTGTTATCACAATATGAAATTGCGTCAACTCTTGTCAATAAAAAGCAGACATTGGAAAATAAATAAAATATCAAAGATGAATGGTGATGGTGACAAAAATATTCAATAGATTATTCATTAAAATATTGAATGAAGAGGATCTTCTAAATGGCATTAAAACTGAAAATTTACTGAAGCAGAAGAGATTTATGACAATGGATGAATGTTTAAGTTTTGTTTGCTTCATCCACTATAAACGAAATTCTATCTTTCGATCTAAATTAGCGAAAAAAAATGTTAATAACTACCCCAGTCTTCTTCTTCATGATGTCGCTTCTTCGTTTTGTAACTTGTTGACGCCTTATCAATATTTGGAGCACCAAAAATATTACTCCACCAATTATCGAAATCATAAATGTGCAAAAGGCAATATTACGTAGATCCATCATGTAATTCGTCATTCGATTCATATCATCAGCTACCTGTATTATATTAATGAAAACATAATTATTGTATTATTATTCTATTGCATTAAACATCACTTAAAAATATCCAAAAAGAATGATAACCCCATTTCTCAATGTGATGCCTCATAGACTTCGATTATATTTAATACATAAAATCTATGGACTTATAATAGAAACGGTGACTGGCTAAACAAATGTAGGAATGCATAAACTATTTAATAAGTGAATTTTTTTTTAAAAGAGTTTTTACCTTAAAATCGCTCCGCTGGCTTGTCGCATTGGACAAAATATGCCAGAGAATCTTCTTGGCTATGGAAATACAGGTGAGTCGCCCGTCATCCGGATTTTTGGACAGGTTTACCCCTGTTGAGAATGAAAGCTTAGTATCGGCGCGCCAAATTGAGGAACAACCCACTAAGCCATCCTATCCCTATTTAATAAGTAAATAATATTTTAGGTGGACAGGTGGAAAACATCTGATATCTTTATCATTATTTCTTCCGTAGGTTTATCTATGAAATTTTTGTTTTGTACTTATAAAATGGAAACTCTTCCTTATGGCGATACCGAATAAATTTTTTTTGATAACTTAAAATTTTTGATAATAAGTGTGCATTTATAGGTTTGAATTAAAACTATGACCAAAATATGAGAGAACGAAAGATTAAGAATGATTTGACTGAAAATTAAGAAAGTATTTCTGTCGAAAACTCAATTATTAAAAATTTATCAACAACGCGCGAAAGAAAAAATTTACCTGCATTAATTTTGGAACACCTTTAAAAAAAATGAAATTCATATCGAGAAATCCATTTTGATTCATTCTGAATTATTTTACAAGCGAAATAAAATAAATGAAAAATGAGCAAAAGAAATATTTCTAGTTGAACGAGAAATAATTATAATTTGACGAAAGGTACCTAAAAGTTCCAATTATCACTCTTTTAAAGGTTTTGATGCATATTTGAATGGAAGATGAAGGCACTAAATTTTAGAGTTTTTAGAGTATTAATGATTGGAAGCAGTGAATATAATAAGGTCACTGGACTGAATACTGAGACAAGAGAGAAGCTTTCAAGACTTTTCCGCGTATCTTCTTCCTTCATAGCTAGAGGTCAGCACAATTGTTCGATCGCTCACTGCGTTCATTCTATTATTACATCTCAACGATTAATATTTTTTTTATCATTCTCAATTAATCGTAAATCGCTCAGAAGAAATTGGTTTTCGATGAAACTAGTTAATAAAAATTATTTTAAGCGAAGGAAATAAAACAATTACAACAATTACAATTACAATATTTTCTACATCCACATAAATACTAATAAAAAATATTTTTTTTTTGGCATAAGTAAATTCTTGGCTGAATTCTTTAATATTCATTATTTTTCTATCAGAGACATTGTTATTTTTAAAACACCGAAATTTTTACGATAGAAAAACGAACAAACGAATAAATGAGCGACGAGGATTTTGTGATTTTCATTTATTGTTTTTTAAATAGTTTTTCTAAAGTTTATAACATAATAATATAATATAACATAATACTTATTAAAAGGTAATAAAATAAAAATAAATGATTATGAATAATGAATGAATGAAAAACTTCATATCATCTATCACTTCATAAAACATAAATTGTTTATGATAAATTTTTTTGAACGAACTCTCCATCCAGTCATGTGCTAATTAGTTATTTGTTTTTCACTATTAATCTATTCGTAATAAAAAAAATTAATATTAATTGCATTCAAATGGTAAACTTATTGCTTTAAATTTGGATAGTTTGGCCATTATTTATTTATTTAACATTACAAAGGATATTTAAACACAAAAAAACAGCCATCATATTTATTTGCATTTCGGATATCAATAGCTTTAATGCAGAAATAAGATGAATGATGAATACAACGAGAATCCAGCAGAATAACGGATATTAATTACTAATTAATAGATTAAAAATTAAAAGATATCAAAATTTTTCGATCAGCCTCCCTTAGAGTGAACGCCTAGGCATGACGTGAATTAATCACTAAGTTATGAGGTTTTTCGATCAATATATCATTTATAAATTATAAATTATACAAGTTACCTATCCAATTAAAATTTGATTCAATTACTGCAAAAATCGTTGGTTTTACTATATTTTTAATGTATTTTTGGAGGTATTATGTTTAATATTCCCGGCTTAATTTGCCAGCAACATTAATTAAATGGAGAAACTAATATTTATAAATGAATAAACTAATATTTATTTAACTTTTTATTTATTTATTTTATTTATTTATTTAACTTGTATACACTTTTGTTCATAAAATATGCTTAATTATTAATATTCCTAGATGATTGATCCATATTTCAGCATTCATCATAAAATTTTATAGATTTTATTTAACATCTAATATTTAATAATGTGAATAAATATTAGCCGAATATGAATATGAAATGAAATATTATATAATTTTTTAAAAATATAAAGTAAAAGCAATTGAATAAATGTAACATTTTGGCGAAACATTTTTTTCAATTAAATAAAAAATATAAATCGTGAATTATATACCCAAAATATATGATTGGGCGACTTTTTACATCTTCAGTACTATCTCCATTACTTAATAACTTTATATATTATTGTATTCCATAAAGTATTCCATAATTATTTAATCTTGCGAGATGTAAATAATATATTTCACAAATGTATATTTTTTCGTAGAAATAATTTCATGAAACTACCTACTTCTTGTTTAAATGTTCCATCAGTAGTTCATTAATAATTCGGATTCGGATTTTCTTTCGATTGATTCAGTTTCCTGAAGCTTTATTAAAACTTGATAACATAAACATAATTCATTAATTTTTCATCGTGATGTTCTAGTTCTTCGACTATTTTTAAGGAAAGGAAAAGAAAACTGGGTGAATGATTGGGAGTTTTACATTCAAGAAGCCCATGAATTTGCTAGTACGCTGATTTCAAGAGATTTGGTAGATTTTAATTATAATTTACTGGCGTGCGTATTTTCGTACAGGCTTGCCTACATATAGACAAACAATAGAGCCAGGAGGAAGGCAAAATTTGATGCTTTTGAGGAATTATTTGAATGATCAATGCGCAATTTTTTATGGTTTTTGTTTTATTGCGAAAGAGAATTTCATATTTGTTCGAGTAAATTATTTATAACAATTTTACAGAAATGGCGAAAATTTATTGGTTGTTGAGGAATTATATGCAAAAATGATTGACATTTCGCTTACACATTTTATTAAAATGTCAGTCATTCTTCTAAATTCTCAACTTGTTCATCACATGAGCGCTTCAGTTAAGATTTATTTTCTGTTTATTAATTTATGCTATATTTCGAGTCAATTTTTTATTCCTTAATAGCAGTTTTTTAGCGTTTCCTTTCGCATTGAAAACTTTAGCCTATAATTATTATTTAAGTCTTACTTCTTACAATGAGTTGGGAATTCTCATCAAAAAGCTTCTTTTTTAGAATAATTTTAGAATGAACAAATAAGATTGTCATTTAACTAATACTAATTAGGAGACTTTTTATACCAAATTAATTAAAAATTAAAGTTATATTTATCGAATTTTTCGGTTTGAAAAATTCAATTGGTCGAGAATCGAGAAAGCATAAAAAGAATAGTGAAATTTTATTATGAAATAAATATATTTTATTAAAATTTTTGATTCTTAAAATATCAGAGTATCAGAAAAAATATCAAAAAAGCTTTAGTTTTATTTTGTTTTAAATGATTTGGATTCCAAAATTTATGTTTTTACTAAAACTTTAATACAATATAATCTTTTTGAATCTTATAAGATAGTGATTAAGGCGATCACCATTTCTGGTTAGACTGGTTCCACTGGCTTAGGCTGACGCGAAAGTTTTCAAAAAGTTCTTAAATTGAGGAAATTTAAAAGTATTATAAGTGTAATGCAAGGATAATGTACCAGCATTATCCTTCTCAGTGTTACTGGTTTACTTCTGCGGGGAATCGAACCTCAGTATCGGTATTCCTGTTCACCCGATTGCTCTCACCCCGGCAATAAAGGCAACCGCCAACACAAAAGCAAACAAGATCACACCGACAAACGTAACTATCTCCACTTCCTAGAAAGCGCTTTTAGGTCGCTCGATCTGCTTGTAATTAAAAGAAGATACCGATGCGAGGTTATGCCAGACAAAAAACTATTTGTAGTTGTCTCCAGACTACAATTTTGGCTTTCACTTAGTCCTTTGGTATAAGAACGGATCCAAGATATTTAAAGTCTGCCTTTAAAGTCTATCTGTCTACTTTTTCAACTTATACGAATTTGTAAAAATAGGTATGAGGTGTCAGCATCTGGTCCAGCGTCTTGATCCCGATTTTTGCTGCAGTTCCCGATATACAGTCCAACATATCTTGCATTCCTTCATAACAATAAAAAAAACTACATTATCAACGTATTCATGATATTATACTCTGGACTGATTTTAACATCTCTTAAATGCTATTAATATTCGTTATATAATATATAAAAACAAAAAAAATTTGATGCTTTTTAAGGTTAAATTGTTTCATCGAGAGTGATAATCTTAAAAATGAATCAAAATTAAATCTTATTTGAATGAAGGAAATGAATGAGGCAAAATTAATAAAACTGTGAATAATTTTTAAAATTCTTTTTAAGAATCCAGTTTTCCAAATCCAAAAGAGTCAACTTTAAATTTCAAAAATATTTTTATACTTATATAAAATTGATCTTTATTTATCAGTAAGTAAGTATGTCACGGCAACTGAATGGCACCGACCAGCCAACTTCCGATTTTTTAATTTATTTCATTCTTCTAATATCATTTAACATTCGACGTTGTATTCCTTTATTTCATAATTATCAGAAAGCTATAAATTGATTTGTTTAGGATTATTGTTCAGAAAATATTTTATTTAATTATTTCAAAGCATTAAATAATGAAAAACATCTCGAAAAGTCTTAATTTTCCGTGGCGAAAAATTTTATTTTTTTCTAAGTTTTTTAAAATTCTTTTTTAATTTTTTAAAAAAATTAAAGCTATTTGTGAATTTATTTTTATATTGTATTTCTTGTATAAATTTTTAATTTTATGATATATTTTTGAAACAATCTTTATTATATATATTTAATATATTTTTATTTTTTATTACATTATATTTCCACTCGTTTTTATTTTATATTATGTATTATTTTTATAAATCTCTTTTCTTAATTATTTTTGGTTCAATTTACTTTTTCTATAATGAGATTTGAATTTTTTTCACACTAAGACAGCTGAGTAACAGCTGTCATTAGCAGTAAAAAATTTAATCCTTCTTGATATATCTCTTAACATATTTGTTTATAAAGTTAAAGTTTTTCAATTTTTTGTTTTCAAATTGTACGGATATGAAAAAGTTTTCATAAAACTCATCGATACAGTAAAACAATTTTCAAAATCTCTTTCGCTTTTTTTGTATTTTTCATAAACGAAATTGTCAAAGAATGATATTATATAAAGAAAAATATAAAAGTGCATAAAAATATAAATATAAAAAAAAAATAAATAGAAAAAAGTTGCAAAAAATTTAATAATAATAATAACAATCATAACGACAGTTAAACTCGAATAACACCGCCATGCGCAGTAATGTAGTGAAGATGTACAGACATGCTCCAAGAGGAATAAAGTGGTATCTCATGAATTTTTTATTTTTAGCACAACTACTGGAATAAATGTAGTTACTACAATGTTTAAAAATTTTTGCTATCGCTTGAAAACAGTTAAAAATTTGATTTCGACTTATCAATTTTGTTTGTACATT